TGCATGCAAGGAAAAACTAATTCACAACATCTAAAAAATATAAGGTTGATTTATTGATGTAGTTGAGCTGAAAATGATCCCTGGCAGACTCAGGTATAAAGTGATACATTTTACCAACATATTTCTTCTGAAGGTCAGTGACATGAATGTTTTTGAGTGACACAGTCAGAGTCCCATCCTGAACCTCCTACAGATTAGGGTGATGGCCAGGAAGCCTCACAAACTCAAGTAGCTCGAGAAAATCCATCAGAAATCAGAGGAACGGTTTACTTTCTGTCATGCCAATAAAGATTTTTAAGCTTGACTATCATGTCAATTATCATACATGCCATTTTTTTATTGATGTGGAAAAAAAACTGATAAATTATATATTCAAAAAAATGTTTTGACATTATTCAGCAAACTGTATGATTGAATAAACAATGCACATTATTATTATTACTGCTGTTATTATTATAAAAATGTGTTTAAAATAACAATTACGTCCTCATTTTGCTACACATTGTGACAAAAATGGAAATGGAAAAAAATGTTAATTGCACGCATCTTCCTCTAATTTATGACTACTGAGCTATTGAACGGCTACATTTAGGTTTAGATCACAGTATGGTGTTATTTACAGCTTAATTGTAATAATTTTGACAAGGTACGCTATGGTTTCCAAAGTATCAGAATAAAAGTTGGTATAGGTGTATTGAAATTTCTGTAAGCTAACTGTTTTCTTTTCGGCGTGATAAGAGGTTTGCTATGATTTTAAACACTTGTACTTGTGCTTTATAAAACCTTGTAGCATCATATTTACCTATATGCTTCATTAAGGACGAGACCTCCCTTCAATGGAAAATGTCACCTGGGTGTGAGAGTGGTGTGTGTTGGTGTGAGGGGCATTTAGCAATATTTTTGACAACCTGCGTAGCTACAAACAACAAACAAGAGCTGTTCCATCTATTTTTATCTATAGCTCATATTTTCTCTCTTATTATTTTTCAAGTTTAAATTTACTAAAATGCGACTGCTGCGTTGGTCAACCTAACTATACAAAATAAAACAAGTAAATTAATAACATAAAAATAAAAAAAATCTCATACTGTATTAAAGGTCAGCGAGTTCTCGTCTTCTCTAAGATGTGATCTAAAAATACTGATGGCTGAAAACTGTCTGAACAACTTGCTCCAGAAGCTGCTGCTCCACACTGCAGTTTAGACCTTGTTGGAGCTAAAAGCAAGTTATTATTAGAACCAAAGATTTCTGTGAAACGTCCAAAGAGTAAAAAGCAGAACTTTAAAATCTATCCTAGAATGAACTACGTGGGCTGCATTTATAAAATGAAATGTGCAAGTTATCTGTTTTATTCATCCTTTTTCTTGGGATAGTTGTAATTATTCAGGTAAAATTGGATGTGATGGAACATATACGTTTTCGAAACAAAAAACACAAACAATGTTTAATAATATAATCACTGACATTTATACTTCCTCCTTTGTTGTCTGCCTTCTTGGAAAAACGTATGCCCATATTTTGACATGCCCTATAATTCACCAATAACATCGTTCCAATACAAACAGTAAACAATTTTACAAGCAACTGCAGAAAACTAGTAATATTTCTTAAGCTGTATATGCCAGTTGTTTCTGTCAGCAATAAAAACATAACTTTTTATCTGCTGTGCCACAATTCATCATAAATACTTTTCATTTTCAAATAACTTTGTTATATATTAAATAAAAACACTAATGCATTTCATAAAACAACAAAAACCTACAAACAAACTGAACAATGTGAAGCAGACAGAGACATCTGACAACTTTGAGTTGCACAATAAAACATGCTGGCAGGTGGTTACGCATTTTGCTCAAAGTTTTATATTTCACAATACTCAGTTGGTACAATTCCCTACATGAGCTATTTAAGATTTTGGCATCGCTAAGTAAGTGTGAAACATTGAACAGACGATAAAACTATGAAGCTAATGAAACAATAGAGATAGTAATTCCTTTCTGAAATTAAGTAGCATTCATTGAAAAAGTTACTTCTATACCTGCTGCAAAGTGTAATGTTGTCTACTATTCTGTGAGAGTAACATTATATTACCTAGAAATAAAGTTATGGCTCTTAAATTCTTTGCATAATTACAAAATACCTCTAGGCTGGCATTTTTAAACTAAATTTTACGTTCAACTTTTGAATCTCCTGATCACCCAAGCTCCTTTTTTCAACACTTACCTTCTACATGTGTCCGATTGCAACAACACTCCATGGTAGAAACAGCTTTAAAATGAAATTAGAAACTCTTTAAACTGATTGTTTCGCTGGGTAGACGACTCTACAGAGTGCGATGCATGTTTCTGTTTGCACACTGTTGGCATGCAGGAGGCCCGTCTGGGTTTTATTTTTTTCTCTCAAAGGGTTGTCACAGGATGTAAGCTTTTGCAGAAAGCCACAAGCTTTTTTTAGACTCCAAGAGCATCAAAGGAGAAAGAGGCCAGATAAACCTGAGAATCTCAGGGAGCATTTTCAGAAACACATATTGCATGTAAACTGCATGCACATGTGACAGAGGAAGAGAAAATAGTAGTGTACTAAATTACTGCAAAGATAACAAGATAAATCTTATCTCACTGAGTGAAATGATGTGATTTTCTGATTCATTCTCATTTTCTTAACTTTGCTTACCATAAACTCTTTGTTTAATTTGAATTATTGAGACAAACAACTTGCTCAGTTAATGTGAATTTTAAATCTTAAGGCTAGATTTCTTACAAGAGTGGATAAAGAGCATTTAGAGGAGTGCAACTTCAATTTAAAATGACTATCAATGTGCCCTACAAATTTCTAGGACAACAATGTTTCTGTGACTTTCAGACCTCCAAATGTGAAAATACCATTAATGGTTTACCTAAAAACCTTTACCTAAAAATAGTCACCATCTTTCTGAGTGTCATTTTATTTTTGGGTTTTTAATTGTACATTTGTACTCTTCTCCTCAACCCTTTAAAGATCATGTAGTAGAAACAACTTCAACCAGGAGACACCAGGCTTTGACCGAAGAACTGAACAATCAAGTGTGGGCTGACCAAAATGTCAACTGCAGTGAAAATACACACAAAAAATGACAATAGAAAATGTAATGACATTTTGAAACAATTGTTTTCTAAACCAAACAGGGTCCAAATGATACACACATCACTTCTAACACTGTGTTAAGCGTCACTTTTGTAAGTTTCAGAGAAACCAAATGTACTTCTGCCAGCTTCTGGCATTACTTTACGGATATTGGATCAGCACTGAGGTCATTTAAAGAGAGGTCATGGCTGGTTGCCGCCAGGAAACCAGCTTTCAAACATCCTTTTGCTTGATTTGTCACTCTGTTGTACCTAGAAGATGGGTTTTACAGCCACTGTTTGGTTGTAAATTGGGTTTTTATTTAATAAAGTGACCAAATTTATTTTCTCTGATGTTGACATTTTAAATCTGATGAGTAAAACTTCCAACAAAAGCCGATCAAATGCTGAAACCGCTCAGATAGCCATGGTGAATGCTTTCTAGAAGAGACAAAACTTGACAGAAAATGTAAGATCCAGGTCTGTGCCAGAAAACCACCAAATTTAAAAGAGATCTCCTGTTTCTGTTGATTGTTCAAATGTTTGGAGTGAAGGCTACAAAGGTATATATATGGCTTCACTCCAAACGGAAAAGGATCATTTGTCCAAATATAACATGAAACTACATGTTTACTTTAATTATGAAAAATCAACATTAAAATGTAACTTCTGCATTTGATTATTGCTCTTAAAATACATTGTAGTTGCTTTTTGTCACATCTTTCCCTTCCACGGAAAAAGAAAGTAAAAAGTGAAGTTCAAATGGAAATAAACAACACACTAAGGCTATCTATAAGATGATTGCCAGCACTGTAAGTACTTTAGAGAACTAAAATCAAAACAACAAATGAAACTTTCCGAGAACTTCAGTGTGCCCAGCTAAATTTAAATGTGAAAGCACAATTAATTTTAGCTTCACTGAAACAGTACGAAAACAGATCTCAATGTGTTTTCGAACTGTTTTACAGTGCAAATGTAAGTTAGGACAATGTAAGTTAGAACCAAAGTGAAAACTGGGTTTTTATAGGTACCAATAAACAAATAAATCTAATTCTCAGTCTTTCATGTTGTTCTACTATCACTTACATTGCCTTTATTTTTCAGCATGGACTTTGGAACTCACATTAACAGAAATGGTTGTTTTTAAATATGTATTAAATATCTGTTGTATTTTGAAACATTGAAGAAATTAACACTTTGAAATTTTCCTGACGTATGAGAGTAGCATGAATGTCTGAGCTGTGTGTCTCTGACTTGACTATGAAGCTGCTCCTGGTGTAGGCTACACTAGGGTTGGAGTTAGTAATAATTTAATTATGAATAATTTAATTATAAAACTAATTTTTATAACAGAATTAAACATGCAGAAGCAGCATTCAGCTTCCATGCACCACACATCTGAAAAACATGTCCAGAAAACTACAAAATAGCTGAAACACTGAATTCCTTTAAATCGAGACTTAAAAACCACCAGTGTAGAGTTTATTTAATTCATAATAACTGGAACTTTAATCAACATATTTTGATGCATGTGATGATTTTGATGATTTCATCAAAATCATTGACATAATGATTTTTTTTTTATTGTTCAGAAGCAATAAAAATTGGATTTTTATTGTTTGTTTCAGAATTGGTGAATGCAAATAACTTTGAACTGCTATACAAATAAACCTGGTTTGACTTTTAGTAAATACATCACTTATATTTTTTATTTATATTTTTAATTTAATTACTCTTAACCTAAATGTTTTGCATATTAATCCATTTGCGTCTTTAATAAATGTGATAATTATTTTTTTTCTTTTTTTTAGGAGAAAAAACAAACTATCCGGTTTCCGAGCTGCCTTTGAACGCACCACACGCCTTCCAGAGGCGGTTCCTCTCCCGTTCTCCCTCCTCCTGCTCGCGCGCTGCCCTCTCTTCTCCCAGCCGCTGATGTGTTCCCACCGTCAGCCTGTGAGTCTGCGAAAATGTTTGGTTTCGGGTCGAAACTCCTGCTGCTTTTCCTGCTGGCCTTCCCCTGCGGATTAATATCAGTCGGTGAGTGTTTATTCCCTCTTTAGAGCAGAGTTTTGGTTTCTCCCCGCTTCTTGTTAGTCTTTAAGAAAAAAGTTATCAGTCCACATTGACGTGGCACATCCAGCTGCGCAGTGGGAATCCTATGAGCCGCTTTATGTACGCCTATTTTCCCTGTAAATCCATTATCGCAGAGTTAAAACTCATTTATAAACGACCACCGCTTATAGTAAAAATCATGCCATAATTAAATGACTTTATGCGGTATTTCTCGTTGCTGGGGTTTCTGGATGTTGGGGCTGCAGCAGCTGCTGCTGCAGCTGCAGCACCCCATGCTGGGACACGTCATCATAGATAAGAAGGGGACCTCACTTTGTTTCAGTCTCCTTTCACTGACACGTTCAGGGACTGCTTTTCTGCTGGTCATTTCAGCCTGGCGCCTTGTTTCAGATGCTTGTACACAGTAAATAAATAATAACACTTTAACCTCCAGTTTAGCTTTAATATGGTAACATTTCCACTGATTTTGGTATCGCTGATAAAAGAGAAAGTTAAGAAGAGTGCTTCAACTTTTCACAACAGTTTGTGCAGATAAGCATATGCCTGTTGGATCATTCTGTAAATATATAAAAAGTCAGATTTGTTATTTAAGTGAGGGAGAACTTTTACCTATCTGGAGATATAAGGGTAGCAACAAGTGGGGGTGGGATCTCACTTTGTTGCTCAGGGTTCAAACAGACGGAGAAAATTCTGGTCATTATTTTTCTTATGATTTTCTATTTGACTTTAAATCATGTATGCTAATATGGACACCCTGCTTGGTTTATATAACATATGTTTGACTTTTTCCTGTACAACTTTATTCTTGAATTAAAATGAAAATTATATTCATTTTAAAAAGGCTTTATTCTTCTTTTGATCTGCTAATAACCAGAATTTTGCTGAGTATAATATTTAATCTGAACACATAAACAGCACATCTCTAAGCCTTAAAGCGAGCCACCTGCAGCCTTCCTGTGGCCCTGACACTTGGCTGCTTTCTGTTCTTGAAGGTCAAGTCTCTGCGCAGTCAGACTCAGCCGAGGACGCTGCTGACGACGCAGATGCTGCAGTCGACGAGGAGGAAGATGAAGACGAGATGGTTGTCGAAGAAGATCAGATGCAAAACATGGTACGTAGCTCGTCTGTGGTCGTGTTGCAGAATGTCAAGCGCTGATCCGTTACGGTGAGATTCTGTGTTTACCATCAGGACGGAGGTGAAGACGACTCTGATGATTCGTCTGAAAAACTTGTAACTTCACACCCCGATGCCGATACTACCATCATCTTCACAACAGGCGAAGGTTGCTCAGTTGTTCATTTTTCTTATTTTTGATAAAATAATGAAGTAAAATAAAAACAAAATACACACTTAAGGTGATCAAACTGGTTGGTAAATGTAGCTGTTTGGTATTTTTCAGAGTTTCCAGCCAATGAAATTGTGAGGTTCCTTGTGGGTTTCACCAATAAAGGAGGTCAGACTTTCACGGTTCAGTCGCTGGAGGCTTCTTTCCGTTATCCACAAGATTTCCAGTTCTACATTCAGAACGTAAGGGACACATTTCTACATGTATTTATTCACCTGCATGTCTAAAATACTTGCCAGAGTTCTTCTGGTTGATCTTTTTCCCGTAGGATCGCCTAACCCTGGGTGTGTCTGTAGTTCACAGCGTTGCCCCTGAACACGGCCGTCCAGCCCCAGGCTCAGGCCTCCTTTGAGTACTCGTTCATCCCAGCTCAGCCCATGGCCGGCCGGCCTTTCGGTCTGGTCATCCTCCTCAACTACATGGATCCTGAGGTGAGGGGAGAAATTGTTTCTTGTTCTTGCAGAACAAACAGCTCAAGATTTGGTTGAACATCTAAATGTTCACCACTAGATGACAGTAAATTTTATTTTATTTAAAAAACTAACTTTTTATTGTCCTCGCTTTATGGTTTTGTTTGGGTTTTTTTTTTTTTTTGTATTTGTGTTTTATTTTGACACACAATCATGTGTACAATAAAGCTCACCTGAAAATGTTTGTGATCAGTGAAACTAAAGAAAAATCCAGTCTGTCGTTCTGACAGCACCGGTTTACTTCTGTTTAGTTATAATTAGTTGTGGTTGTGCTTTACAAGTAGTACATTTCACTGAGTTGATTTCTTTTAATGATGCTCAGAGAGATTGTAGAGATATTTAAATAAATCAGGTTTCAAGAATCAAACCAGCAAGGTTACAATCTAATAAATAAGTTGCAATAAGTACAATAAATACACACATATCTATGTGATTACTCAATTTAAAGAAGAAATGCATAAGTTAAGCTATAAATACAAGATTAAGGACGAGCTACAGAGATTATTGAAATTATTTTGAGATTGGTACATGGACAAAAAATACTTAATATGCCTTTTGTGATGCTAAAGTCGCTTTATTTACAAATTGAATTGTGGATTGCGTTACATGTTTGATTATGCATTAAATATTATGAATAAAATTACACATTGATTGCACTTTCATTCAAACCGTCACATATAAACTTATTTACTTGGAAAAGCTCTTTTTTTTCTTTGGTACTTTTGGCCCCTCTCTATAAAGAAATCTATATTATGTATAAAAGAAGTACAAATAATGTCTAAATGGTTTAAGATGACATTAAGAGTAGTCTTTAAAATACGTTTTCTTTTTCTCTGATGTGTTTGTGAATTGATGCCAATCAAACCAGACACGCATTTCCTCTCTAACCTTTAGCTTTTTTTTAGGGCAACATTTTCCAGTCGGCCATTTACAACCAGACTGTCATCATAACGGAGCGAGAAGACGGACTGGATGGAGAAACGTAAGGCCTTTGACTGAAATGTCAGTCATATCCTGCCACTGACATACTTACAGATACAAACACGTAGATAAGGCGCGTTCTCTCCTGCTTCTGCAAAGTTTGCAAAGTGCAGAAATACAAGGAAGACGATAAGCAAACGCATTACTCTGAAACGACTGCATGCTCATGAGTGGACAAATTAGAGCGATTTAACCAGTTAATGCAGTTAAAATCTAAGTTATTCATAGTCACATTGGTTTTGCAAGCTTCCCTTTATTCGTCCTGTTGGCTCTTTTTCACAGCACCAGCTCCCCCAGAATATTAAAAAGCTTGTAACAACCCGTCAAAAAGGTGTGAAAGTGGCACAAAGAAACGTGATGTGTGTTGAATTGCCGCGAAACGACATGAGCAAATAAATCTCACGTTCCTCAAGTCTCACTGGAAAAAAATACCATTTGGTCTCTGTGTCGTCCGTGGAAGAACAACACGCTATTGAACGCTCTGTTTAATTACTGTCTGTCTATAATTCATCAGGAAAATAAATAATTTTGCTTTGTGTTTGCAGGATGTTCATGTACGTGTTCCTGGGTGGGCTGATGGTCCTGCTACTCTTTGGGATGTATCAGGTTCTGGAGAACAGAACGGTACGCATTTCCTCAGTAATTTGGACTGCTTTGTTGTGTGAATGCATCAACACATGAACTTGACTAGACTGAAGTAGATGTGATGAGGAAGTCACCTTTCCTTTATGAAGGGAAATGCAATAAATATTGTGATATGTCAGCGACTGTACAAAAACTACATCATGTCCATATTTCTTAATTATAAAACTTAGCGTCTTACAAAAATGACCATGTCCCATTAACTGTTTTTTTATTTATTTAAAGCCACAAACCTCAGTGATAGACTAACAAAGTAGTGCCATTTTGTGAGCTTGATGGACAAGGATACTTGTTCTTTGTGGGTTTTTTTTACAAATTGGAATCTGAAAAGTGGGGCTTGCACTTTTATTTAGCCCCTCTGAACACTTTGGAGAGCAACATTTTACTGCAACGACAGATGCAAGTGTTTTCTGAGTATCCTCAATGGGAACTTCTACCTCAGTCTAAAGTGTCTTGCATGCTTTAGTTCCTACTCTATTTAACTCCATCCACCTTTGAATCTGCTGTTGCTGGGAAACAAAACAAGCAGCTGAATGCAACACTTTCCTGGATTTGATTTGAAAAAAAGCTCAACACTGGGATTCTTCTTCCTCGTCACCGTCTGATCCTGCACTACATTGTTTTCATCTGCAGTTCGCAACTAAAACGCACTGAACTTCAGAGGGTACTGATACTTTTGCAGGGCCTTTTTCTAATGGATGTCATCTTCGGTTTTGTTCTCTGCAGAGGAAACGGCTCCCTGTGAAAATAGAGAAGGGCACGACTGGCGTGAACGACGTCGACATCAGCTGGATTCCTCAGGAGACTCTCAACGCCATGAGTATGTTGCATGTTATTATAGACACAATAAAAGCCATAGTTTCAACTTTGTTATATTGGTTTTCTTGTAGTTTTTTGATGATTAAAAAAATGTATTTGATTCTTCATAAATCTTTATAGAACCTTTGCCGAAAACATCTTCGCCGAAAACATCTCCGCGGAAGCGAACCAAAAGGGCAGCCGGGGTCGACCAGTAAGCCCGACTCGTCATACTGGGCAAAATCCACGTTCCCATTCACTAAGGATCTCATCAGAGCGCGGCCATTAAACACTAACAGGACATTTAACTAAGTTTTAAAGCTGCATTTTTGTAAAGTCACGGTTTAAGCAGTGAAATGTGCAGACTGCCGTATGGATGCTGTGAGCTGAATGTGGAGGTTTAATCAGGATCAGATAAATTGACTTGAAACCAGAAGTATTGAATTTGTAGACCAAGTTTCTGTCAGTCCGGCGCCTCTGTGCCTTATTTGCACCCTAACTTTGCTGGTAAACACCAATGTGTCCTCCTGGTTTTAATACTGTGACATGGGGACTTTTGTTTTTAGATGTTTCTTTAAGAGAGTAATAACGGCAGCTGCATGTCCTATGACGATTTCTCCCAGCATTTCCATGGGTTTGTTTATCTGTTCTTTTTATTTTCTCCCCCTCGGAGATGGACGCTCCTTCAGCCTTTCAGCCTCGTCACGCGGCGTCATTGCAGCTCTCAGGTTGATCATTTTTATAAAACCACCTTTTGAAAAGGAAATAAAAGAACAAACATGGTGTTTTTTTCTGTTTCTTTCATTCTTGAGAACTTTATCACAGTATTTCTGACACCGCTATTGCATTTGCACCAACATGTGTTTCCACAATGTATTCAAATTGACATAATAAATATGTGATTTTTATTTGTAGGACATAAATTAAGCCATAAAAATTATTTTATGGCTTAATCATTTTATTCATTTTCACTGCCTGCATGCATAGATGTTTTAAAAATGATTTTATTTTTGGCTTGAATTATATTTAACTATTTTTAGTTGTTTTCTTTTTTTAAAAATAGAGTAATTATATATACTCTATATATAAGTATATATATTCATTTATTTTACTTTTTTCCGCTAAAAAAAAATAAAATAGTTGCTGTTTAAAATTGCACAACAATAATATAAACTGTCTCTCTTCAAAGGGTCAGCTGATATTTGGGACTCTAAATTGGACTCGGGTCAAAAATGTCTGGAGTTTTTGATTGTAATTTGATAAATGTGGTAAAAGTCCAATGGGACGGACGTTTCATCATCATCATCACCACCACCATCATCATCATCATCCTGGGATGACGTTAACCCGGCTCTCTGAACGGAGTCTGCTAATTAACAGCAGGGTGTGAAAGAGTCAAGCAGATAAATAGATTGAAGGTCTGGATTATGACTCACAGCCCGTTCAGAGGAGGCTGGAGCTGCTGTCCGGAGCTGAGGGGGGCGGGGGGCAGCGGGATGAGCTCAGCGCCGCCCGGGGGGCAGGTAACGTCAGCCAGAGAGAGAGAGAGAGAGTCTGCAGGAGTTGCACGCTTCATGAGATTGTATCTCATCATCGGGACTCGATCATGAAATCGGCATGGGCAGCTGATCTGCTCCGTGCATGAGAAGCAGCGATTCCTCCTCGTCCCAGCAGGATCTCCGCAGCATCCCGCCTGGCTTGACATGGGATGAAATGGGATTATTCATGTCGACGAAGATCGGACGGATTCTTGCGATCGCCTCTGGTAAAGTAGCTTAAGATGCTGGTTGTATTTGTCCAGGGAACGGCAGCTATTAATAGTCTTAGTGTATTTTCATCTCCGTGCATCCCGTCTCTTTGTTGGCTGGGTGGGGGTTCTCTCTATCTGAGCACTGAGTGCTTGCAGGAGACCTGCACCGTCTCCAGCTGGCCATCTGCACAACATTCACGGTTCAATATTTGAACAAAAACACAGTTTCAACTCCTGTGCCACTTTTGTTGATGTCCAGGCGCTTAGCATTTGTTTTGCATTCAACAGAGGGGTAAATCATGAAACTATACTCCGCTGTGGAGGAAATGTCCAACCTGCCTGGGTTGCAGATTGCTCCATTGTTTTTAGACCACGCCTCATAGAAATATTCACACCTCTGAAACTTTCACACATTTCCTCACAAACTTCAGAGGATTTAAAGTGCTGGGGCTTTACTAACATTGAGCAATGCACGCTCGGGAAGTGGATGGAAAATTATAAATGCAATTTAGTTTGTTTTTGCAGCTGAAGAAGAAAAGCTTCCCCAGGCCATGATGCTGCCATGTTTGCCTTTGGCTTTAGTCCGGTGTTACCTGGACTGAAGGCTGGTCGCCTGACACTGTTTTTTACTTTCTGCTATTTCAAGACTATTACCACATTCTCCTCATTCAGGACATTAATGTCTTGATGTCAATATCTTTTACGGTTCAGAAAATATTCAGCTCTTTGTGATGATCTTGGGCCCCAATGACAAAAAAAAAGAAATATTCTGCTAAAAACTCGGCGCTCTTTCATGGCTCACTGGAAGCGTTGTTCAAATTTTAAAATGTAGTCATGTCCTTTATGTCACCTTCTTCACATCTTTCACAGATTAGATGACATCCCTCCTCAAGTTTTTCATTATGCTCAGTCTGAGCGTTCCCAATCTAAGCCAGCTTCTTTCTTTCTTTCTCCCTCCCTTCCTAATCCATTCCTCTATTACTGGAGAGTCCTTATTTTGCTTTTTTTTCTCTATGATTTTTGTCAAATATATGTCTTCCAAATTAACTTCCCAGTTTTAAATAAATCCCTCCATTACGTTTCAGGGGAGCTGCTGTGTCTCCACTCGAAGCGTGATTCACCCTCTGTTTCCATGTTGGTCCCAGGGCAGCCAAATCTGCACCACCTTCGACTTTTAAAGTCATTTATTAACAAGTGGGACAGTTACGTCCAAACCTCTTCAAACGTTTAAACTTCTCCAAAACGTTGACCTTTTTCTGCTGTCTTCTGTGGTTTTGGTGACTTTATGATCTCTGGCAAAACTCTTGCAAACCATCTTGAGAAAAGATCTACAGGAAATCGGTTGCTCTGGATTTTATGTAAGGTTATTTAGGTAGTTCTTTTGTTGTTGCTGTTTTTTAGAAAAATAAGTGAAAATCTTGTTCCTTTCTCTGCAAAATTATTAATTATTTTATAATCTATAACATCAAATGTTAGTAAATTGCGTCGTTCGTCTGATTTATGGTAAAACGTCAAGAATAGTGTCTTTGAGATCGTGCACACACTTCGTGGTTTCTATATTTAAACGTGTCAGATTGTAGGGGACGTTCATCGAGACCTGGCAGGTTCTGTCTCCGCTCTGTTCTGCAGTTTTCCTGCTCCTCGCGGCGCCTGCAGGCAGCGCGGATGTGAGCTGTGAGAACGTTTACCGGGACTTTTCCGAGTGCGTCCTGGAGCTGGGGGAGAGCATGGACAACTACCAGGAGAACGTGACCAGTGAGCAGGGAGTGGCGGCCGTCTGCAGGTACCAACGATGGCTTCATGTTATTTTATTTAAAAGAGAAGAATGTGAGCATCTGAAAGGGTTTCTGAAAAGTTTGAAAGGAAATATGTGACTTGAATTAAGTATTTCCAGGATCTGGATAAGAACGTGAAGGGTACACAGACTTTCTTCCTTTTTGTTTTCTAAATGTTTCTAATCATCCAATTGTTTATTTCTTCTTTAGTCTTTGCTTTCATTTTGTTCTTTTTCTCCTTTCCTCTTTTTGACCTTCCCTTACTTCCTTCCTTATTTCACTTCTTTCCTTCCTCCGACCTCGGTTCTACTCCTTTCTTCTTTTTCTACCTTTCCTTCTTCTGGTTTTCTTTTTGTCTTTCTTTCTTCCATTCATTATCCAGAATTTCCTTTACTTCCTCTAATTTTTCTTCTCTCATCGTTGCTTTCCTTCCTTCTTTTCATCCTTCAATTTTGTGCTCCTCCCTCCTTTTCTCCTCTCTTAAAAGATCTGCCATTCTTGATGCTGTTTTACATTTGATAAATAACCTCTAAGGTCTGAGAAAACTGGAAAATTATGTCTATAAATCAGATTTTTTAATAATAAAAATGTTTATGTCTCATTTAAAACTTGTCTTATGTTCCCAAAGGATATTGAGTTTACTCTGAAATGTGCAGAAACCGTTATTTGTTGAAACTGATTTCAGAGTTTAATATGAACGATGGAGTGAATTCAAGTCTAAATCGTTTTACCAACATTTCAGCTTAATAAGTACGACTGGGTGTTATAATGAAGACAAATATTCATGTCATGATCAAATACTGTAGAGAGAGGAGCAGATGCTGTAATCTCAAAGAGGGAGAAAGGAGAAATGAGTGATGCTGAGACACAAAGCCATTGTGCTAAATAATTTATGGCTCCAGTGCCGCTGTAGTGAAATTCAGGGGACGATTTTCTTCTCACGTTGTTTCGCCACAAACTCCACATCCCTGGCAGTTTACTGGCGGCAAAGATTTTACACGGCCGAAAATTGCCCACTTGTAATATCATCTGCGATGCTGTCACGCTCCCGGATGCCGTTGCCGCGGCAACCAGAGCTGGCTTTGACTCACTGGAGGCCGGTGAGGAGCATCTGAGCAACAGATTACTGGCAGGAATTAATCCACAGCCGGATTCATGAAAAGCTGTGGCGGGTTTCAGTTTCTGACCGTCCTTCGTTTTGCCCACAGCCACTGGGAAGCCTTCCACACCTGCGCTCTGACGGCGCTGTCCGACTGTCAGCAGGAGGTCAGCTCCATCTGGGAGACCCTGAAGCAGGACTCCAGGAAGATCCGCTTCCAGGGAAGCCTGTTCGACCTGTGCAGCCCCAGCTGCGCCCCCGGTGCCCGGCTGCCTCTCGCTGCCCTCGTCCTGCCTCTGGTTCTGGTCCTGACCGGGCCGAGCGGGGCCTCTGCCTAGACGGGACACGGATGAGGGCGATAAGAATGAGGGTAGGACGGACGGCGGCGGTTTCTTTTTTCATGAGTTCCAGTACGTCTGAGCTCAGACTTAATGCCAAGGATTTAAAAGGTTGAAATGTTTTAAAAGGGTTTTTTTGTTTCTTACACTGAGGTGTTATTGTGTGTGGCAGGACAATCAATTTAGTTTGGCTGAAGACACTTCAAGTCTTCTGGTAATGATAAAGCCTTTTTCTTTATTAAATAATAGCTTAGGGGGGAAAAGAAGTGCATTTTTGAAATCATTACAATACATAACTTTTGGCCTGAAACTAGTTTACCACGCCTGATATTTAAAGTTTTAACTAAATTTTCTTAGCAAAAATAAATAAATGAAAACTTGAACTGCCTGGCCAACATGTGTATGTGGGTCTCATATGGCTTGTTGGTTTGTTGGATTTCTCCTTGTGCACAGATAATTCAACATCAAACCCATGGAGGTAATAATAAAGGGAACAACCTGAAGTCTTCCTGTTTTTGGCACATTTCCCACCCATGTGGGCCCCATATGTGAATGCTGGCTAGCTGATGCACATGTACTAGATGTGCATCAGTAAACGCACATTTACTGATGCAATTACTGTACATGCAATTACTGTACATGCATTTACTGATGCACAGTAAATGCATCAGAATAAAACATATCGAATATCCAAATTAAGCAAATGATAATTGTTGTTTTTTATATTCAAGAGCCTGATTTTTTTTTTTTTTTTTTGTGCACTTCCCTGATTTTTAGCCTTTTCTAAAAACTAAGATAAGTACACACTGCACTTCAGCTCAGAGCTGAGGCAGAAGCTGGACATGTGAACATCATATTTTTAGATTACAGTGGCTTGAAAAAAGTATTCACACTCCTTAAACCTTTGCACGTGTCACATCTTTGTTTCATCTTGGTGCGTGTCCTCTAATAAAACCTCTGAGGCGTTCGCAGTAAAGCCGTGTTTGTATTGCGAGCTCCATGCTGTGAAGAAATGCATCCCTGCAGCATGGACTTCCTTCTCCTCTTCAGTGGCGTCAGAGTAAAGAGGGTGCAATGCCATATCTTAATATTAAATCCTAATGCATTAAAGTTTGACAAAATGTAAACCAGTTCAGGGGGTGTGGACATCTTTTCACCGTAGACGGAAATGGAGCAACACTTCCGAAGTAAGATATCTCTGCTGCTTGCCTTGTGCTGTCATCTAGAAGAGAAATGAGCTCTCTAATGAGAAATCTACCTGAATCTGTTTTAAATCAAACATTTCCTTTCCAAACTGTGCTGCTGGGGAGGAAGCAGTATTGTGGTTTACACGCTGCTCATATATTATACACGGATGTCACGAGCAAGAGAGCTCACCTTCTGAAAATAAAAGGCATGTGTTGTCTTGAAACTGAAAGTACAATAACTATGTGCATGGTTAAAGCAGTGCATTGTTACTCAATGTCCTGAATTATCTTTATTTAGAGCAATGAGAGCGTTGAGCAAAATCCAGACATGGTGCATCTAGCGAGGTCGGCTCCTGGTTCCTGACTCATTTCTACTGTCACATCAGGACTTTTAGAGGGCAAAAGAAAGTTTGGCCTCATTTTTCCACTGAGTGCTTATTTTGCTTAAAATGAAAATAAAATCAAACATGTTGTGTACAGGGTTATAGCCCTTTTAACCATCCATGTAAAACTATTTGGCCTCCTGCCTTAAGTCACAGCTGTCATTGTAATAATTACCTGTATAATAACTGAAGTGTGACTGTGGACACGTCTCGTGAAATGTTGCTTACCTGCAGTGGAAATATGAACAAAATACAAGTGGGGGCTTTAGGACGAGAAATTAAGTGTGAAATAATTGATTGTGTGTGTGAAGAATCCATTGGGTTTCCTCAGTTCAGGAAAAGTAATTGAACACCAAACTGCAGATTTCACATTGGTGTTTAAGAAAATCAGTACCGAACGCATGTGGGGTCCATCCAGTCACAAACTGCACTTATACAACATGGCAGCGTTATATAACATGTGGACAAAGCCATGCGGGGCAGGAAAGTTTGACAACACCACTCTTTTTCTCCAAAGCAAAAACAATTCATGGCAATAGGAGAGACCCAACAATTGTAATAAAAACTCTGCAATCAGCACTTGGAAATGCAAGTTTTATAAAAAATAAAACTGAGTTCTGCAGTTTACAATTACATAACTAACACCGTTCCCACTCATCTGGTACAAATAAAATGTTGCAGTTGTCTGCAGTCGTCCATTTTTTTTTCTTCTCCTTCCACTGCAAAAGGAAGCAAGTGACAGTGACCTGTTTAGCATGTGTTTGCTCATATTTCTTTTACTACAGACGGTCCTACCAGGTGTTTGCAACTGATTTTGTTTTTCTCGCATGATATTTTATGACCAGGTGTCAGAAAAATTGTTGATTTTAGCTTGGACGTCACATAAGGTGGCCTGTGCATGAATTGTAACAGCATTCTTTGTTACGCAAAATTTGTATTATCCACGCTCCTATCGCCTTGGTATCTCCTAGCATGTTTGTTCTAGTTGATTTGACTTATTTAACGTTTTAAAAGAGTAAGTATCACGTCGATCCATTGTGTGCCTGGTGGTGAAACAGAAAAACAGTCATCTCCTAAAAGCATGAGCAATATCTTGGGAGAGAATCTTTATCCCTTCATACGTGGTTCATGAAAGCATGAAAATGATTGTGATCATGCACACAATAAAAGTACAATAAGTTTTGAAGAGATTTTAATTATAGGAAGAACTCCTGAATGTAAAAAAAATACTATTCAGTATGTTTTCTTTTTTTTACACATTTACAAAACTCTGTAAAGCAATATGTGGGAAATGAAGTAACTATAACAATAAAGCACAAACGTTAAACACAAGACGTCCGTGTGCATTGATGTTTAGGTTGCTTCTAGAGCATTACAGTCAAATTTGCTGCAACTTATTCATCACACAGTCTCAGTTTCTCATCCAGCAGTGAGCTGGTAATGAGGATCACAAATAGCTTTAGTTTTCGCTCGTTAGCACTCGCCCATCTGCTGCTTTCCACCTGGATACGTCCTGCAGAGGCAAAATGACAGATCACGGCCTGTAGTGGAAAACCCTCTTAAGAAGTAGCGACATGTTCATGATGCGCACCTCATTAGAGAAACTGTCTTTGTCTGAAACATAATTAGATTTCCAGGCCGTTCCTGGTGAGTTGTACTGCAGCAGCATATGAATGTAAAGATCAGTAGATGTTAATATATATATATTAAAAAAAAGTTTTCTTTTCAAAAATACCCAATTTGGTGACGACTGCGAGTTGCATGCTCTTCTTATGTAAGTCCAAAACTTTTCAACCTTCTTCTCATAAATTGAGAAGCAAACCTTTTAAAATCATGATTTACTGAGAAGAAATGCTGCATAATAAAATATAAATACCACCTGACATAACAACTGCCATCAAGCATTTGCCAGAAACAAAATGTTAAATTTCTCATCAGTGTGGAGGATTTTGTCCTACTGGCTGTTTAAATTCAGTCTCATTGGATTGTTTTTTACCTGCCTTACGTCGCACAACATCATCTAAATCTCATTTGTGTCTTCGACTAGACTAGGCCACTCCAAACTCTCTCTTTTTGTAAAAAATATTCAATGTCTAAACTGTTTTTTTTTTGTTTAGTAACTGGTATATTTGTCGCATTTTGCAGGAGGAAACTTTCTTCACATGCTGGATGATATTCTGTTTATTTAAAAAGGAAAAACAGACGCAGATCACTGAACTGCACCAGAGCATGTTTAGCTCAGAGCATTGACGAACGATTCCTGGCAAACGCATTGTGATAAAACCAAAAACTATTATACAATTTTAAAATAAAAGATTTGTCTGGTGATTTCCTAATTCTGTGTCTATTGAAATAAAACCTCAAGTGGATAAAAATACACATTGCCAAGTCAAACTTGTTGATAATTATTTTAAAAAGTGATTGTAAAAATTTGAATACACAATGCCCTATGAATGGAAAACGAACTGTAATTTATTTGTCTCTCATCAGAGCAAATCTGAATGAGACGTTTTGAAGGACTACTTCGAAGCACATTTGTGTGTGAACCATAAGGATTTTAGCATTTTACGTCTGGCTCCAAATGAGTAAATTTAAAAACATTTAAAATAATTACCATTATTAACAACCAATATTTTATTCAAATGTGTCTAAACTTGTATATTCTTGCATTAACCTTAAGTACATGGTGTAAAATTCTTTAGAGTCTTATTATTTGAAATGACATCAACACTAGCTGTGATTGTTGGCCAACGATATAAAAATAAATTTTTGAAAACACTAACACCCTGCTGTTCTGCACAGAAAGACCTGACAGCTTCTAAATCAGATTTTATGTCTTGTTCATATTGATCAAAAGGGACACAGCACTCTAATTACACTAAAACACTGCACAGTCTGCACTTTCAAAGCTGCAAACCCCAAAGACTGAGATCGTCTGAGTTTGCATCTCAAGGCTAAAAGATTCAGTTGGAGGCTCAGAAGCATTAGGGAGGCGCTGCTCCAGAAAACGTCCCGTGTTTTTCCCTCGGTTGTATTCCCTGTTGTCAGAGCTCAGATGATGGCTGACAAACTGTCCCTAAACGGTCCAGACTGCTCTGCATAATACATAAATACATGCAGACCCAGAGCCAAACAATAATAGCTGTGAAAAATGCAGTGCAAGCTTAACGAGAAGTCCTACAATGAGTTTGAATATGCAGACTTTAAACCCGACTGGCAAAACCAAACCTGATTTCAGTCAATAAAATGTTGATTTCTAACATAAAACATGTATAAGATTAGTCCTAACGTTATGTATATGATGATACAGTAAAGATACCCATCTAAAGACAAAATGTGTGACCAAAGTGATAAAAACCGGACATCTGATCGAAAATTGATAAAACCACAAGAAGTAAATCAGCTGACAGTTACCAGATGTCTGGACTGTGAAGTGTGGATGAAAAAGCTCTAAACCTTATGGGAGGATGTGAAATAATCTGATTAAACCAAACTGGAACTTCGGGGTCACATGTCTGGAAAAAGTGTGTGACCCCCTGTGAAACAGAGTGGAGGAAGCATCATGCTCTGGGCTCACTCTTTCAGATAAAAAGGGAGTTTTTGTCAAGTTGGATTAAATACGATTACATATGAATGACTTTTCAGCTCCATGGTGAGTCCAAACATATTTTTAAATTAAAAACAGAGCGATGTAGCCAGATAAGAACTGATTCATGGCTTCAATGATCCTCTAAATCTGTCAGAAAAATCTGTGGATCCATGTGAAGACGGCTGTGGACCAGAGACCAGATAAACTTAGAGAACATTACAAATATTACCTCGTACAGATGTGGTTTACAGATGGAATCAGAAGCCTCAACAAAGCATTAGCTTAAGGCTGAACACATTTATGCAACCTGGTTATTGGAGCTTCTGTAGATTGTTTGTCAGCTGAATTTACAAGATTCATCTCACATTAAAGGTGTTAAAACAATGAATATGATTCATTGTGGTGCTAAATTTTTAAGTGTTAATTTCTATTCAATTACGTGGCTGTTGAGAGCTCCAGTAATGAAATAGGAACTTTATAGTTACTTTATTAACCAGAACTCTGAGAGTTCAGGACTTTATTCCACGGGGCGCAGGATGTACAGGCGTAAAAACGACTATATTCTACATTTTATACACCATGAACGATAAGAAGGAACTGAAACAGGATGATAATGTGGACACAGAGTATCATGATGATAAATACATCAACATGAATCAAAGTACAAACTGCAATCAACTGTTGGGATGATGGTGTGCTTTCAAAAACATTATAAACAGAAAATACTATCAAACATTTAATAAGCAGCTATGAATAAATATCCAGTCAGCTGGAGGAAACTTAATGATAAGATTCATAACTATTCAGTCCGTCTGTTCACGTAGGTTTGTAAACAATGGAATCAACCTTATCAGCGAGTTCCTCGGGTCTTAAAAACCATCTGAACAGTTCACAGGTTCGATTTGGGTCCAGTATTGACGGGGATGGCTCTGAGCTCAGTCCGCATGCACAGGTACTCCCCGATCACAGCCATCAGCGCGATGCACGCCACGTTGACGAGCCACCAGGAGAGCGCCGAGGGAAGGTGGGAGTTATAGATCCAGCAGCCGATCATGTGGAAGAAGTGAACGGTGACGGTGAAGTCCAGGCACTGCTTCCCCCGACGGATGAAGAACCACAGACCCAGAGCGCTGCCAGAACATTGAGAAGTCATCGTCAGAAAAGTTTAAGGAAAAAAGGGTTTAAAAAAAACTAAAATAAAATAGTAAAACAAATTGGTGTTGACTTAACTTAGTTTTGAAGACTAATGAAGATTATTTCAAAGCTGTTTGGATTTTAAAAAGCTGCTATATGATAAATAGAGAGTCAACGGTGAACCCAAAGGAGACTTGACACATTTATTTCTAAAAGCAGATGAGTGGGAGGAGGAGGAACAGATCCAAGGCAACAGAATGAACTCGACTCGCAAACAAAGGGAAAACGTTTGCTGGCATAAATTTAGAGCAAAACATTGATCAGACAAATATTCACTTTGCTGGATGAGCATTTTGTGTTGCATGTAATAAAGCTTGAAACTGCAAAGCATTTTAAAAACTGACCTTGAAACTCATGATACTTAATAGCTGCAATTTACTTTTCCATTCACTGCTCTATTCTATATTATATTCTTACATGTAGCACAAATAACCTTGGATCACTGTTGAAATGTTCAAAGCAAATCATAGAAAAATATATTTTCTATCAATTTAAAAACAGATAAATGCAGAGAAACTCAATGACGCCAGTAAAATAGCACTCAGGGCTCTTGAGGTGACAAAAGAGACACAACATCCCTGAGGAGTCACAAAAGAAACCCTTTAAAAGAAATGTTTGTGGAAGACAAACCAAGACAGAAGTGGAATTTTTTTTTAAATATTTGTGTACAGGATCAAGTAGTTTATTGAGCTGTAATATCTGTTAAGAATGAACTATAAAAAAAAGCAAGGATTTAAAAAAAAACTTACTAAGCCTGGTGGCCCGCCAGGCTTACACTACACTAACCCCTGAATGTTTGACTGTGCTTACTTCCCTGACAGATAGAGAAGGGTTTTGTTTGTTTTTATCAGTTTGAATAAGTTGAAATTGACTGTAATAGGATTACGATCCTACTGAAATGTTTGTAACTCACTTTTACTCTGTTTGCATGATAAGACCAAACTTCCTTATTGTGTAAAATACTTATTGTGAATTGACATTGTGTAATAAAGCTGAATTGAACTGAAGGGAAGACCCTTAAAAACCTTAAAAACAAAGACAAAAAACTTTCCATGAGTCATAACTTATGAAGAGTCTGTGATGCCTGAAGGTGGTTTTATATGTAATGAATAGAAAACTTCCTATTGTTGTCATCTGTTTATGTATGACCTGAATAAAAAAGCAGATCTTCTCACCAGGTAAGAGAGTTCAAGATAAAAGCCATCATCGAGAGCCTTCCCTGCATGGTGGCAAAACCCAGGACCTATTTAAGAAAAAAAGAAGAGTAAATGTTTAACATGTAGGTTTAAAGGAGCAGACTATTACAAGGAATGGATTTGACCTACTTCATAGCTGAAGATCTGATCTAGGGAGTGACTACTCTGCACAAGGCTGTCCACGCCAGCCAACCACAAGCCCAGGAAGCTGTAGTAGATGCACTGCATCAACACAATCTGGCAGATAATGAGGACAGGGTCCCAGATGTAGCTCCGGAAGTTGCTGGCCATGTTTCACTGATGCTCCACATGCAGGCCCAAAGAGTGCTGGTAACTGGCCCAAAGCATCCACAACTGGCCCATCCAGTCCCACCTGCAACCCTCCAACCTACACCCAAAAAGAAATGCATTACTTTACTCATTTTTTATGGTAGTAGCTCTACAAATCTGGTAGAAGGTATGCAAGGTAAGTTGAATACATTTTGAAACACTTTGCCCTCACAGCTTCTTTAAAAAACCCAAAAGACATTCACTGTAATAGTAGCATCATGACACATCTTCATAAAGAAGGAAAAAACATCTAACTATCTTGTAAAAGTATGTTTATCAAGTTATGTTATGTTTAATTTAATAAGGTAGATGTCAGAATATTAATAGTTACAGAAATAGCAAACATTTAAGCAGTATATTGTGTAATATCTGCATGTGTTATATGCATTTGTCTTTACACTTCTACTTTGATGATGTGTCCAAAACTCTCAAAAAAGACCACGAGAACAGAAAAAAAAAGAAAGATGTCCTGATTCTCTTAGAGAGAAAATACACTTCTGTGCTCTTGTAGAGTTTGCATTGACCTTAAGAAAGGTTAACATTAAACCTCAGTAGGGGTCATCGTAAAGCTGCTGCCCAGACCCTACTGAGGATGTGGAGCTGTGCAATTAAAAAGACCAAAGGTCAAATATTCTGCAGGAATTATGGGAGATAGTCAACAAAAATAGGGCTTTTTATCTGGGGCTTTTTTGATTGATTAGAGAAAATTAACCTTGAAAATAAAAGTTGTGAGCCTAATTTCTTTGTCTAAATCATTCATTTGTTTTGGTGTCATCATTCCACCCCATACAAGATACATAAAAAAATAAATAAATAAAAACTCGTAACAATCATTAAAAGGAATGTTTTATGGTTCCTATAACATGTTTAAAGGGCCAGTTTGCTGGGTCTAGTTGAACTGGAATATGACTTAGAGCTGCTAGGCTGCTAGCATACAGACAGCTTTTATCCTCAAAAACATTAACACGAGCAGACGTGATTCCTCCGGGAAAAAAGGAGAAAATCCTCTAACATTTATCCAAGAAGATAAGAACTACTGCCTCGGTGTTTTATACAACAATAACAACATGGAAGACGTTTAGTGCTAGCATGTTTTTCAGCTTCCGTTTTAAAATGACAGAGACAAAAAGACACTCACCTGGAAACTGGGCCACGGACACTTCAGCAGGAATTTCAACCACAATCCTTTTGGTTTCTCTCGGGGTAAAGCCTCTCCAGGGATGAGGTGGAGGTATTGATGGTGGACTAAACCGAGTTCACAACAAAGACGTCACAGCAAGAGACCCGGAAACTAAACTAAACTTCGTCTTGTTCTGTGAAAGCGGGTAAACAGCACTGTGGCGCATCACTGCCCCCTACCGGTAAGCAGCAGGAAGCTGCATTTCTAGTCTTGGTAAAATGCCTATTGTTTCCATGAAGACTCATAATAATAACATATTTCCATAGGACATTTAACTGCAGCAGTGACCTATGACATGTTTTATATGAACATAATTGATACTGCATAGCATTGATTTATGAGTAGTATGAAAGAAAAAACCTACAAATTTATAAGCTGGTTTTATTATGTTCTTATTTATGCACCTTTAAGTCTTATTTATTTATTTATTTGTTCTATTATTCCCTGTTCAGGATTCTGATTACCTCTAATTAATGTTTATTCCTCGTATTCTTATCTAGTCATTATTTCTTTCTAAAATTTATATTTACATTAGCTTTAGGTAAGATCTGCAAGTCAATGTTTGGCAGTGGAATCTGATATTCTGTGTCTTCTTAAGGAAGGAAATCACCTTTCTGTGGATGTTTCCCTTGCTATGTGTGATTCTAGAGTTCGTTCATCTTGGAACCAGTTTTTGTACATTTTAAAATATTTTTCTCCTCGCAGCTTACCTTCAAACATTTTTCCTTCACTTTCAAACTTTGTTCTTTGGTCCTCCATTTTTCTTCAAGTGCTACTTGTTTTAGAATTAATCAGAGGTTAAGTTGAGCTATATCTAGCGAGTCTATTGGGGTCATAATCAACAAATATCCACTAACTCGCATCCTCAATAGTACATTGAAGGCAGTGATACTGTATTGATTTAAAAAAAAAAAGATGTAATAAGTTCAAACTCAGGTGTGTTGCTGTAATGAAGTTGAAGAGCTTCAGTAAAGAGAACAGGCACGAAATAAAAGGAAATAAAATTAACTATGGGATTCAAACAACATTTGTTTATTATTATTTGATTATTTCATACATATGCAAATTGGCCAAAACTTTTTACACATTTTTTAAATTTCCTATTTTAAAGTTTTAACTCTATGATAATCTCAATATCATATTTTATTATTATTATTTACCTGTTCCTTATTTACCTTTCTAAATAAAAATAGAAAAATGTAGGAAGGACGTAAACATTTTATGGCGACTGAATGACTTTGCAGCGACGTGTGTCGACCTCTCCCTCAGCTTTTACTTTAGTTGTGTAAATGTTCGCCTAACTTCTCCTTTCTATACATCTTATTCTCGACTGGAAAGCGTTCGATCAGCGATAAGGGAACCTTTAATCGATTTCAGGTGTGAACCTGTTTTTACTGCCCGCTGCCAGAAACGGTGGACAAACTTCCGGTTTGATCTTGTTCTCCAGATGGAAAATAAACTGGAAGGGGATTTTAAACATTTCGCTCAAACTTTGGCCTCGTCGTTTGCTCGGCGGTCCTTCGGTTGAATCTGATGTCTTTTTAAAGGGACAGTGATGTTTTTGTTTGACTCATGCATTTTTCCACATCTGGAGATTACGTGAACTCGTACTTTCATCCTTAGTGTGAAGCTGTGGTATGTCCCTTTAATGCGTCAACATGTGAGTGAACATGCTTTATATGTCCTTTACATGTTCTTTAAAACATGTTGACATGTTCTTCAGAAAGTAAAGAAAAAAACAGATATTCAGTATTGCAAAGATCACCACAATAAAAACAAACTGGAAAAAAAAAACAGAACAAAATGTGCATTCAGATTTTACTTAAATATCGATTTGAATATATGTATTTGTGCCCAAGCCAGAAAGCAAATATAAACATATTAATAATGATAAAAATGTTTTCAGTGCTTACATAAAGTATAACTTTTTAGTTGCTTTTATTAAATGCACCCTTCTGTGTTGGAACCCAAAGGTCTAAGGTTAACCAAAAGTTAATTTCTAACAATTGAGCAACTTAAGCAAACAGACCAAAGCCAGATTATTATTTGACATGTCTTTGTTTTCCGTTCATTGGATGGAAAACAAAGTCAGTGAGCGATGCTTTTCCTGGTGTTTCTCTGCTTGATGTTTTGTCATTTCTGCTGGCAGAGCACACAGAGAGGACGAGATGTTCAGGCCACATGCGAGTGTGAAAGCAATAGGGCGGCTCGGTCACATCAAGATGAAGCCAGACTTCACTACTTGGACCAAACTGGCAGGTTTGCAGCGGCTTACAGGTAAAGTTACGGTTTATTTATCCAGCACTTTGTTTTTCAGGTGAACGCACAAGGAGGAAAACCTACAACTTAGAAAACTTCTGTAATTTTTCATCAATTTATTATATAATTGAATCACTGGCTTTATGTTACATTTGATTTTAATGCTATGTTTTTGGTAAACATATTTTTTTGTATAATATTTACCTCAAATTCTTCAAATAATGTTGCGTCTTTTGATATTTTTACGTTATAAACGTATTGAAATATTAATGTTGGGATCCTCCCTTTTTGGGGGATGCTCTTCTTACCTTTTTACTGGGTCTGCTCAGGTTTGCCTCTAAAAATGGTTTTAGATTTAACAAAAAAAATGTTTAGTTGTCTGTAGGGCATGAAGTGAGCCCTCAAAATACAACCAGACAAAATATAAATAAACTTGCATCATATTCTCATTAGATCCTCTAAACTAACATAAATTTTTCAGAGACAAACGGGGATTATCTTTTTTATAACACTTTTAATCCACTGAGGTGAGGTTGTGTGTTTTATCGTCTGCTGCCCATCTATCCTCCTTCTTTATTTACCTACTTCCTGTTTGTCATCAATAATTTACTCTAACTGAGTTCTCAGCTGTGTGTCAAAAAGTCTCATTGCTTTTGTCCTGCAGGGAAAGTTTGGTGGAAGAGCAACACCAGACCCGCTCCTGTTTTGACGGCCGCTCCTGTTCGCGCCCTCGTTGACGAGCAGATCAGCATCAGAGGTCACTTCCTGCCCCCGCGCTGTCCCGTCACGGTGCATGCAAGAATGCACAGCAAGGAGGGAGATCTGTGGGAGTCATTCGCTCATTATAACGCAAATGAGAGTGGAACTTTTAGCTGTGAGTAAAACTACTAAGTGATTCTTGTTTTATATGTGGTGAAAAGTAATGGGTTTCATTTGCCTTCTTTGTTTTGTCTTTTGTTTTATTTCTTTCTGCCTTTTGTCTGTCCAGTAACTCGTGATCCTTCAGTGGGAGGCTCCTATTTGGGCTGCGAGCCAATGGGACTCTTCTGGAGTGTGCAGTCAGCTCCTGGAGGAAGAGAGGGTTTAAGGCAGGTGATGGAAACAAGTTCAAGAGTTTCACAGGGGGAAACATGTGGCATTAAACTCGTTTATATGTATCCTAAGGCACTGATGAAAATTATTCAAAGTTAATTTGCAGCATGTAAGTGCATATGCAAAACATACTGAAGGGAGACAAATAAGACGTGACTAAAATGATTTTTTGGCCAACATGCAATCTGCCATATGTGGCCGGAAACTAAAACTGCACGTAAATATGAAAATAAGAAACATACCCATAGTGAAACACGGTGGTGGCAGCATAATGCTATGGGTGTGTCTCTTTAGCCATTAGTTGGCTATGGGAAGCCGGTCAGAGTAGATGAATGGAGTAACATATTGATAAGAGGCTGCATCCATCTTGTTGGGATCTTCACTCTGACTGTTAGATTTTGTTTTGCAGGAATCTTTTGATTGAAAGAAGCATGCATGGAAATTAACAAACCAAATTAAGTCTACGAGACAAAAAGTGAGCCACGTTTATTGTTAGACATGCTGCAAAGAAATGAACATGCACAATCCCTGATTTTTTTTCTTTCTATTTTCTATTTTTCCAGGTTTAGGTTCTTACATTTCATCATTGATATTTAGTCATTTGTATAAAAAGCTTTTATTTTCTGACTGAAATTTACTCTCTGTTGTAGACTGAGGAAGAAGAATGTGGAGAGTCCTTACTTGGTGCATGTTTCTCTGCTGGAAGGCCACGTCTCAGCCGGCGAAGGGCAGCGCTCTGAACTGGCAGCGGTGACTGCTGAACGGTGGTACATCGCACCAGGAGTGAAGAGGATAGAGATTAATCAAAACGGACTCATAGGAACATTGTTCATACCACCTGGTGAGCGTTTCATCCATTAATGTTGTGGCTTTTCACCGGTGGAGGACATTACTTACTTTTGTCCCGGCTTCCTGCAGGTCCAGGCCCGTTTCCAGCCATGTTGGATCTGTGGGGAATGGGTGGAGGACTGCAGGAATACCGCTCCTCTCTCCTTGCATCCAGAGGCTACGCTAGTTTTACTCTTGCCTACTTTGGGCACAAAGATCTGCCTGGCCCACCAGATCGTATCAACGTCGGAGAATCATATTTTAAGGCAGGATAATTCTTCTACTTCTCGTCGTTCATCACAGCTCAAGTTGATTTAAACCTTTGGATTGTTGACCTGAATGTAGATGTGGTCAAGTGAGTAGCTATTTTAATGATTTAATCCCATGTTCTTTTGTCTTTCCCATTTTGAAAAGTGTTTAAGATGTATATCTCAGAAAACAAAAAGTTATGAATTACAAATTAAAATCTTTCAGGCTGCCTAAAGAGTGAAGGATGAGTTTCAAATTCCCTCACAGGTATTATATTTGTCCTTCATTTGAAAAGTTTTGCGCTCCTCGTTAGTGGAGCTAAACACTGAGACCCCGGTGCTTTTTGTCAAAACTGATCATTTCTTAACATGTAAATTTTTTATTCCCACCACTTAGCATACAACGAGCAAAATAAGATCATGCTTACAAAGTAAATGATGGATCTTTGCATATCTCTAACCATGCAGAAGAAGCTGCTTACTGCTGCTTATGTTTTACTTACTAAACATGTGGCTGGTCTTTACTCGTCTTCCTCCCACAGGATGCCTTCCTCCTGCTTCAGGGTCACCCTCAGGTCGTCCCAGACAGAGTCGGCATCATTGGCCTCTCTTTCGGATGCTATCTGACTCTTCACATCGCCACCAACACTGGAGTTAAAGTCCGTCACAACGCTTACTGCCTCATTTTAAACTCTCTTTCTGATTAATTATGTTTGTCAGTAATCATGTGTAATATCTAAATCGATTGAATTGCTGTATTTCTGTGTTGCTCCGCAGCCATCTTGTTTGGTTTGTATCAACGGCCCTATGGCTTGCACGGTGCCACTCTTCACTTCAGATGGCAGAACAGAAGGATTTGACAGGTAAATAATCAGTAAGATGATGATGATGATGATGATGATGATGATGAGATGATGATGATGATGATGATGATGATGATGATGCAGTGAGCCACAAAGTGATTCAGGACCACAGACAGCTTGAAGTTTCAGTATACTGCATTAAATCTATTCCTTCAGATCAATATGCTAATAATCTGTAATATGTTCATAGGATATAAATTGTCTTGCAGCAGCACTAACATCGTTTTATATTTTCCAAACAGCCTCAAACTATTTAAAGCGAATTTAATGGAAATTTTGTGTGATTGACCAGGTCGAAGGGCTGCCAGGTGGTTCAAACAGTGTATAGAGACTAAAAGTTTTACCAATTCTTTGCGAAGTAGCTCAATCTCAGTCTGACTGGTTGGAGAGCACAGATACTCAAATGGATTCAGGTCTGAGCTTTGACTGGGCCACACAAGAATATGCTTTGTTGTAAATCATTGTGATTAGGCGAGAAGATGAACATCTGCAACCGGTTTCAGTTTTTCTTCAAGGATTGCTCCTTATCTAACTCCATTTATTTTCACATCAAGTTTGACCAGCTACCTGGTTATTGCTGCAGGAAGGCGGTACCACAGCATAATGCTGCCACCTCTATGTTTCAACACCAAGAAGACCAGAAGTTTAATTTTGTTCTCTTCCTCATCAGATGACCTTACATTCTTTCACATGTTTTCTGTGAATTCTGCTGAATTTCAAAGGCAGGTTGTTGCACAATATTTTATTTTGGGATATGACATTAAATGAGGCCAGCACTCCTCCCGCCCCCTGTAGGGACACAAGTATCAAGAAAATGGATGGATGGACATTAAATGGGGCTGAAGAGAAATACACTCCACATTTCTCACATCTTGTGTTTGTGCTCTTCATAATTAAGAGCTACTTTGTGTTGGTCTGTCGTGAACAAGCTCGGTTAAATACGTATAGTTGTAACGTGATTACAGTTTGGGAACAAAAATGTCCTTTCAGAGGGCTGTACATACTGTGATTTCTTTATGAATACTATTGTTTAATTTCTTTTTTTGGTGTGGCAATCACTGGCTCGCATCGACACCAAAATATTCAAATACTTTTAAATGGTAACAAATAGGAAAACAAAATTCTTGCTTGAAGAACCGTTTCCTTAATTCCTGTTCTTTACACTCCATATCAGTTTATTGGCTTCTGTGTCTTTGTTGCTGATGATGGTGAAGTTACATAGATTTAAAATGGACATATTTTGACAGAAATACTGTTCAACTGTAAATACAACTGAGCAGTTAGTAATCACTGGTGCTACAAATTTCATCTGCAAGTTATAAATAAAAATGCAATTAATCTCCTGGTTTTCCTCTTTTTTGTCTGTTTTTAGCTCCCAGAAATTTTGGAATTTTGATGATGAGGGCTGCGTCGTTTTCAGACGTCTCTCTGCCTGCTAATATTCCTCCTGAGAGGTTTGCTAAGGTAACAGGACAAAAACTGTTCACACTTGGTGTTAGCATCCGCCTTTACTGAGCCGATCACTCACGCAAGAACGTACCATCACTTTAAATCACAAATACTCATTTAAAATGTGTTGAGCCAAAATGAAGCACATTTGTTATTCAGTTTAACTCAACCACCAAACAGCTCTGTGAATAGAATAGAAATATCTTTTATTGTCCCACAATGGGGACATTTTTGAGCAAAAGCAGCAAAAGTGACAGGCAATAAGAGCAAATAGACTCAAACAAGGGAATATAAAATATATACTAAAATTCTGAATAAAAATATAAAAAATTTCAGCATTAATACAGTGTAATACCAAAGTCCAGGGGAATGTCTCTTTGAGAATGAAGACTCATTATTTACTGATAATTAAAATAAAAAAACTTTGCACACAACTATGAGCACACAGCCAGGTTTGTATATAAGAAGATCTTATTAATGTTATATTATTCATTACAAGTTTTGCTTTGATTTTCTTGTGTTTCTGCAGGTGGAGAAGCTCGATTGTCCTCTGATGTTCATAGTGGGTGAAGACGACCTGAGTTCTGCAAGCATTGAGAACGCAGATCTGGTAAAGTTGGTTAATTGACTCCTTTAAATCCAGTTTGACAGGTAAAGAAACAAAGACATTAGTTTTCTCTCCTGTAGATCTAAGAGAACCGCTTTAAAGCTCTTCTTCTATGAAGTATGAAATGTCTGACCAAAAACACTTTTGTTTTTCTTCTTGTCACCCAAATAAATCAACTCTTCTGTATCTTGCTGAGTTTGTATTGGTTATAAGTACAACCATACCGCTGACTATTTTAAAGAACTACAAGCAAATTTGAACTTTTTGAAAAATGCTGTTTGTAAGACATGTAAAGATTTTATTAGGCCTTCATTCCCCAGTTGCTCATTCCAGTTGTCTTTCAATTAATTTTCAATTTGGAGACAATATTTCAATTTGGTTTATTCAGTCATGTTTTTCTATATACAGAAATCACAAAGTTAGTTGTGGCTTCGCTGATGCTCTCCTTTTGTTATACTGATCTTCTTCAGCGTTAGGCTTTAAAGTCAGTCTCTCTCTCAGGCCCCACTATTGCCATCTTTTGGCGATAATTGGTATTACATGAAAAATTTAACTTATCACTGCCACACCACACAGCATAATTGAAACACGGATAATAACATTTTAAATTGTTGAGAGAGTAACTTTGAACGACTCAATAATCCTTGGTATCACATATATTTTAAATACCATCTCAATTCTAGTCATCAATGTATCAAATGCCGCTTTTAATCCTTGGTTTCTGGATCATCAGATTGAGGAGAGGTTAAGGTCTGCCGGTAAATCCCACCTGTTCACCCGCTTGTCCTACCCCGGCGCTGGTCACCTGATTGAGCCGCCCTATTCCCCGAGTGTAAGAGCGTCCATGTGGTCCGTCAAACCCAAGAAGTGTGAGATGCCTCTGCAGTTTGCATTACTTCATTCATGTACTTTACTTTTAATTGCCATTATTATTACATGAAAGCTGCTGTTTCTGCTGCAGTGATCACGATGTGGGGGGGGCACCCTGCACCGCACGCTGCCGCCCAGGAAGATGCATGGAAGAAAATATTGGATTATTTGGAGAAAAATCCGAGAAGTTGAATATCTGGAGAGATGCTGGATTTGAGAAGGTTTCATATGAAGAAACGTAAATTGGAGCTGGAGTTCAATTTGCTCAAAAATGGACAAGTTAATTTGTTGCTCTGCAGCAAATTGAAGATCACCCCTGGCAGACAAACAGAGCCGAACTTCCAGATTTCCTCAAGTGTTTAATGAGCATTTAGCGCAAACATACTGATCAATGTTTGTGGGTCTGGTTGAAGATTTCGTGGCATGCTGAAGTAACCATGGCGATGAGGGCTACGAACTCTTTGAAGTCGATCTCCAGGTCTCCGTTCTGGTCCAGATCAGTGAAGAGCTGGTCCAGGATCTTCTTGTTCTTAATTTTCTGTGTATAAAAAAAAAGTGTTGATTAAATCCAGGAGCTGGACAAATAAATCAGACAAGATGGAAAAACTACAGAAGCAGACTACAGACTCACACAGTTTGAGTTCCTGCTGTGATTAAAGTAATCAGATGAAATCACTTGCCTTGATGAAGTGATTCATCTCATTGTTGATGAGAGCTTTAAGGTCTCCCTTCCTCAGCGTGCAGTTCTGACCCGAGTATTGATGGAAAACTTTAATGATACCGGCCATGCCACTCTCCAGCTGTGAGAAATCATCTGTGGAGGCCTGCAATAAACAATTTAAAACCATGACACCATCATGACACCATCATTTAGACTTACTTGTAAATGTCCGTTGGTATGAATTAAAAATAAACCTGAAACTCTATTCGAAACATTTTTTTAGTTTCTTTCTATTAAATTGTAAACTAAAACACTACCATACTGTATTAAAATACAGTATGGTATTTTAATACATTTATTTCCAAAGAGAATAAAAATATTGGTCCTCCTCACCTCCATCTTCAGCAGCTGCTTTCTCCAGTGAGGATCTCGAGTGCGAAAGAAGACTAAATAGCGGAAAGCTGTTGGCCTCGCCCAATAACAATGGATACGTAGCTCTATCGATCAACCACACGGAGGCTTCTCATCTTTCATACAGTGCATAATGCATTTTTAATGGATGCAAACACCAAACAATCTTCTCATGAAAAGTGTAATTTCATGTGAGTGTGTGTGTGTGAGAGAGAGCAAGAGAGGGCTTTAAGTTTGGGTTTCTTTGCATTTTCTTGTCTTCACTTTACACTTTGCTCCTGATAGATCTGTAGGAGTCTTTGCTAAAGCACTTTGAACTCATTAGCTTCAGACTGTTTCTACCAGTGTTCACTTTGACAGCACAATTTAATTTTATTTCACCATGAACATCAATGTATTTATGGTATTTATGTTCATATGACTGGCCAATGCAAAGAAGTGCATAACTGAAATGCAAAATAAAAAGTATGCTTTTTTTTTTTCTTTTTTGCAAGTCAACCTTCAAAGATTGTTGTGCATGTTTATTCAGGCCTCTGAGTCAGTGACTTGTAGAACCACCTTTACCTGCATGTCTGTCTAAAAGCTTTGCACATCTGGAGGCTGAAATTTTTTCCATTTGCTCTTTAGAGAATTGAGAGACTAATGCATGCATGTAGTCTTTGAGAGTGACTTTAAACATACACTTTATAGTGTCATTGTAGATTTTCAATTAGATTTATGTCCGGACTTTGACTGGGCCGTTCTAACTCCTGGATATAGTTTGATCTTGTCTTTGGTAAATATTTGACCCAGGCTCAAGTCGTTTGCACTTTGTGAGAAGTTTTCTTTCAAAATGTAGTTCCTTGGAACTCCTCTAGCTCTTCACCTATTTCTGAAGAACAGTATCCCCACAGCATGATGCTACTAAGACCACATTTCATTATTGGGGTGTTTTTCATCATGATTCTGCTTTACCTAGCCTTTAAGCCAAAAAATAACATTTTTGGTCTCATCAGACCCGAGCATCTTCTTCGACACTATCTCTCCTACATGGTTTCTAGCAAACAGGTTTTATATGGCATAAAACTGAATGTCAGCAGATTCTCCCACTTCAGCTGTAAACCTTTGCAGCTCACCATGGGCCACTGCCTATTTGATTAATCCTCTCCTTGCTCAGGGTGTCAGTTTAGTTGGACAGTCTCTTTCCATTTTTATGTGATGGATTAAGCAATGCTGTGTGAGACAATATAAGAGCCTGTGATTTGTTTTATAACTCAACTCTGCATTAGACTTTCTCCCTGACTTCGCTGCTGTGTTGCTTAGTTTTCATAATGCTGTATTTGCTCTATTCATTAATTATGGTACTTATAAAGTCAGATTGCACTGACTGGAAATAATTTAGACAGTTTAGTTTTGAGGGAAGATTTTCTTTTCTCCCAACTACTCCTTTTCATTCAAAACTTTTGTTTATATCAACATGTGACATGCTCATTTTAAACTGTAAATGAAATAAACAAATAAATTATTACTTGTAAAAAAAAGCTTGAATCACAAATGCTTCTTTTCAAATTTACCACTTTGTGTTGACCCATCAATATCCGGATGAAATGCAATGGACTGTGTGATTGCAAAAACAGGGAGAGATTCAAAGGATATTAGTGCTAATATTCTTGTAAACACACTGAATGGTCTTGCAGGATGACTGCAGGATGAGTGTCACCCTGCAGTCATCCTGCAAGACCAAACAGGAAAGCAGCCTAAACTGGTTCTCTTTTAATAAGAAATACTCTCTGTGCGTCATCAAAAAATATTTCCATGAAAACATATTTGTAAGTAGGTAAGCTATGAATGCCACAGTTTTACTTCATTTTGGGTGTGAAGTTATTGAGAAGAGAAAGCTTGAACTGAGTCAAATATCTCCAACACATTGGTCATTAACAATTGAAGCTTTTGTAATATTTAACTGAAAAGCACTTAACTCTGCATTTGTGGTTTCTGTGCCTCTCAGCAGCAAGCTGTGAGGGGATGCTTGTGGCTGATTTGTGGCATCACTTACAGAACTAAAATATGTTATGCTGCCTTGCAGAGAAAGATAGAGATTGCAGCAACAATCAAATCAGAATCTACTGTCAACTTTGGACTTCCCAGGCTCTTTTCTTTTAAATGAATCTGTCTTTATGTGTGATTATTGTTGCCTTTCAGTGAATTACAAGGTGTCAACATGTGGCAGAAGAATTTTATGTTGGTCATTTGTCTTGTTGGTCACTGGAGGAAGAGAAATACCTACTCCAGATTAATTTTATTCAGACTTTTGAAATCGTAGCTGCTGGGTTCATTATGACGTTTGAGGTATTAATTTTGGGGGGGGGTTGAATAATTTCTTTTCACCAGAGAATCAGACAAAAAACTAAATGACCCCAATAAATATTCACATAAATAACCATAAATAACAACTTTTAAGCAGCACATGTCTCTTCCTTCTGCTGCCCTTCTCACCTGGGTGAGGAGGTAAACCAGAAAGAGGTGAATGATTGTTCCATTAAATATTGTTAAAACAATAGAAATATAAGAAACAGACCATTTGCCAAATTTGTAACTACAGTAGCTTTGTACAGAAAGAAAGACCAGGCCCTCTGTTTCTCAAGAATGTCCCCGCAAATGTCTAGTCACACCTATAAAACTCAAACAGCTCAAATATTTGATCTGTGACTCAATCACGCCTTACAAAAGACTCAACAGCTGCAGCTAACTGTCACTTGAACGCACCGCGCTCCGTTTCCGGTGCTCTGCGCCTTAAAAGGAACCACCGTGCAGACGTCACACGTTACGCTCCCGTCTCCGCCTCGAGTGTCTCAGCGTCGCTCGCGCGCGGATCGTCCGCCCTTCCTGCGGTAGGAAACTGACGTAAACTGGGCAGAGAGGCAGAGCTGCGCACTAATTAAGAGCTTAAATATAATAATTTACTGAAAGTTAACACCCTCCTTCTGAGCTTGAACCAAACCGGAAAACGCAGCCACCGAGAAGGAGACGGAAAGTAGGCTGTAACCTGGCGAAGGTAAGGTTTCACTCATTCACCTTTATTTATTTTACTTTGCTCTCATTTAAATTCTTGTCATACATCATTTCTCAAGAATGCGGAGCTGAGCCCGTGTCCTCGCTTTTAGCCGAGCTGATAACAATGACGACGATTTTGTGGCCAATAGGATGAATAAAATATTATGTTTATTTTTGTAACGGCTAATGTTTCAGTCTGGTTCAAGGAGTCCTGGTTCCCCAGAATCTCGTCGTTTTCATCAGCACTGCTTTTGACCATTGAAACTGTTGTATCGACGGATTTTCCTCCACAACAAATGTACCTTTATTTAAATCACAGGTAGGCAGTAAAGTGTGGATCTATTCCATGTTATTTAGTAAAATAAGAAGGGTTTTGAACTTTGGTTTGGGTTGGTGCCATTGCTACAGCAGAGCTGCCATTGGTTAAAAACTGGAACAGAAAAGCGGGTTTTAAACTATTTTTGACAGATTCTGAGGTCTTGTTTGTCTTCAGACCTTCAGTCCTACCGTTCTGCTTCTGTTTATCTTTCCATTTGGTTGATGAAGTCAGCTGTAGCCATATTTAAACTGTATCACCTTTGATATTTTTTAGTATAGTGAAACTGTATGCAGTCTGCGCTCATTAGTTCACCTGGTGTTTACTGGGTATACTGTTTCTGGTCACTGGAACCAGCGGGCTCAGAAGTTTGTCTGCTTGGACATCGTTTTCTGCAGCACAGGTGTCAAAACTCCAGTCCTGGAGGACACTGTCCTGCAACTTTTAGATGTGTCTCTGCTGCACCACACCTGTAAAGAATGATTGGGTCATTAGCAAGTGTGGATCTGATCTATACAAGCAGGAGGTGATTAAGTCATTTCATTCCAGTGTTTTGCACCTGTGGCACGTCTTAAAAACTGCAGGACAGCGGCCCTGAGGACTGGAGTTTGACACCCCTGTTCTACAGAATAAGGGGTAATGTAAAAGTGGAGACTTAAAAAATGCTCCCACTGAAACTCATCAACCAAACCATCTGGTTTTTCTTGAATAAAATAACCCTCTGGTTTCTATTATCTCAAAACGCATTCTGGTCACTCCAGTCTGCCGTGTTCCTCTTGACAAGCTGCATACATGTTTTTTCTTACAAGTTTTATTGGAGCCACATGGAAAACAAACCAATACATTTAAAAAAGACTTATCCAAAAAAAAAAAAACGAGGGATAAAAACGCATAATGTTAAAATAACTTTGATCAGCTGCCTTATCTAATGATTTATTGTACAATTTAAAACAAATGGAAAACTGACAATTGCAAGTTGCTCCACAGGTGACAGACTTAAGTGAGTTTGTTTTTTACTGAAAGAGGTTAAAACCTTTAATATATTAGAGCTTGTCCTCAATGTCGAATTATTTCAGTACACATAAAGATCATAAACTAGTATTTTCTCCGGAACAGAAAGGAAGAGAAACGTCAAAAGAAAAAACCTTAAAACGTACATTACAGATTGACACCACTTCAAGGATCACAAGAAAACAAAGTACAAACAAATTGGGGCTGGTTTAAAATCTTGTGACAGCAGTGTTTATATGACTGCTTTCTCCAATCAGAGTGTGCCTCTCTGCTAATCTAATGCTGTGCTACAAAGTTTTGCATAACTTTAAAATATTTTCCTGGAAATTTAATTGTGAGCTGTGTACGTTTGAACCCTCTCTTCTAGCTCGCATGCAAAGCCCTGCAGCCACATCCCTGCTGCACTCGTTTCTTTTTTGAGAGGTGCCCTGTTTTCATTTTCAGGCTATAATTAGCCCATCATGTGCGAGTGCGACCTCCTCCATCCTTTTTTTTTTTTTTTTTTTTTTTTTTTTTTCCCCCAATTCTCTCTCACACAGTTCTTTGCCTCTGTTGCGCAGACATGGCCGACCTGCTGAGGCTGCTGCTGCGGGTGGCTGAGAAGGCCGCGAACGTGGCTCGAATCTGCAGACAAGAGGCTCCTCTCTTCCAGCTCCTGGTGCAGGAGAAGACCGGAGAAGACAAGAACAAGAAGTTTGTGCAGGACTTCAAAACACTCGCCGATGTGGTGATCCAGGAGATGATCCGACACGACGTCAGAGCTCAGGTAGGCGAAGATGTAAATGATGAGCCATAAATGATGAAGTTGTAGAACTAGACTAAGTTTTTATGCCCATGTTTTTATTTTTTTTCTGTGCAGTTCCCAGAGATGGCTGGGTTCATTCATGGAGAAGAGTCAAACAAGTTTGAAAATGGACTTGGTAATTATTGTTTACTTTTTTGTTGTTGTTGCCTCAAGTGGCTTTTATTTGAAAGTGGTTCGACTGGAAACAGTGTAATGAGAGAGGGAAAACATGCATTCAGGTAGATGATGTAATTTCTCCTGACACGTATTGAAAGACGACGTTCAAATAAAGAATGAAATCAGCGATTCACTTGTCCTTAAAAGCCATGTTCACAAGAGAGATACTTCCACGCCATTTTCATCTTTAAAACTGTAGATATAATTATCTACAGTAAAACATCTTTACTAAAGAAGAGAAGAGTTCCCTCTATTTAGGCACTTGGAGGTTTTTTTGTCTTGGTTGACTGAGAATTTATACCAACATCCTGGGATTTAATGTCCAAATGCCTGAAGGTTCCAGGTTCATACGAAAGACTTTGAGGTTGTCAAGCCCAAATAATTTTAAAGGAAATGAAGTCATTAGTTTCTCTCCAACATGGATGGTGTTGGAGAGAAATATTGTTCATGCTGATGAAATAATTTCCTTATCTTGGTATTGAGCAAAAATAAATATGGTAATCATTGGAGAAGTAATGTTGGATTTAAAATCAAAGCGAGGGGGAAATGAATGACTTCTTATTCTGCGTTTGTAAATATCAGGCTTTTAGCTATTATGTTTTACATTGGAGGTTTGTCACCAAGAGTTTTTATTGTCAGAAGATTTATAAATCTTTTTAAAAAAACAACAAAAAAGCAGATTGTTATGCATTTATTTTCAGGACTTTTAAGATTTATTTTCTCTCTTTCCCTATAATATAATTGAAATACCTTTGTATCGTTACACACGACTGGCAGCGGTTTTACACACAGAGCTGATTATTCATGCGGGTCAAACACCCAGAACTTTAGCGTGTCTCTGTTCAAACATTTAAACGCGGTGACATCGTGCGCTGTGTAAACACCTGAGGTCATCCGTTGTAAATTAATTAAAGCCTCACTGTTTCGCCAGGAGAAAGTGTGACTGTTACCGTGTGCAGCACAGAGGAGGAGACCGCAAAGCTCCTGGCCACCGTGTTGGACGGCGACCAGACGGCGGCGTCTCTGCTGGCTCGAGCCGTCCACCAAGACCCGGCCACCATCGAGGCGGGCACCGACGGACTCACAGTTCCTCTTAAACCATCCGAGCTCGGCGTCTGGATTGACCCCATAGGTAAAAACACACCAGCTGCTTAAGTTTGCTCCTTACAACAAGAGCTGCTTGTGATGATCTCGTTATGTGTGAAGACGCCACCAGTCAGTACATAGAAGGACGCGAGGAGGTGGTGGAAGAGGGCCGCCTGAATCCTTCAGGTCTGCACTGTGCGCTGGTTCTGATCGGGGTTTACCTGCGGAGCACAGGTGAGCCCGTCATGGGCGTGATCAACCAACCGTTCAACAACAAAGATCCCGCTGGCACAGGGTGAGTTGAGCAACTCAGAATCTCTCCAGGTTCTGTCTCACAGGTTTGATCATTCAAGCTGTCTTCATGATGAGTTCATTTAAAACTTTCACACTTCCTTATATTTGACTTTTTGTTTCATCTGTTGAGCAAATTTACATCTTCATAGGATTGACAGGAAAGTGCAGGAAGATCATCTTAACATGAAAAGCAGCACTTACTTTCTAACCAAGTAGAAATAAAAATAAAATCATCAGTAAATATCTAATTAAAAATGCATTAATTGGGGACAAATTATGGCAGACAGTTGCATCCTGAGACTACTTTTTATTTTGCTTTTATCTATTTTTTTTTTAAGTCATTACTTGCTTTGTTTTGATTTTGTCTTCAACTTTAGTTTGTTAAATATACATTTCAAGACAGTTTTTAGTCCTCATATCATCATCTTCTCTTACTGCTTTTATGCAGATTTCTCTATACAGATTATGGTCAATAAGACATTCATATGTCTATGGGCTATACAAAACATGTTAATCGCATTTTTTGCACAGTTATTTTCAGAATGAGATTTTAGTCAGTTCTGTTTAGCTTCTTTCCAGAAAGATGTTTTAAAGCCTCTTGTCACAACTCTGTTTACACTCGCACAAAAATAGCTTCAAACAGATGTGCAACTGTACAACCGTACATCTTTGAAAAGCAGAAGTGGAGCCTCCTGTACAACCAGCAAGGATGGCAAGTTAACAACAAAACATTTGCCTTTTCCAGCAGCCATGATACAGAGTTAAAACCAGCTGACCAACCATGCTGGAGCTCAGCTTGGGTTGCAAGGTAACGGTGCATACTGTGTTTGAAATGGCACATTTTCAGACACCAACAGACATTAACTTATTGCCAAAGAATAATGGCAAGGTGGTGTTTCCTTAGCATTACCTCTATTTTAGAAGCAGTTGAGACCCAACTAAATGTGCAAAATGTGAATTCTTTATAAAATGTTTTCCTTGATGTGAATCTGTGACTTTCCTCCGTTTCTGTGGTTGAGCTTTTCGGGCTGACTAAAAGTAATCCTCTGTTCTCAGCTGGAGAGGAAAGCACTACTGGGGCGTGTCCTGCGGCAGCACGAACATCTGCTCAGAGTCCAGACCAGGAGAGCGGTCTGAGGGAGGCCTGTCCGTGGTGCTGAGCTCCAGCGAGAAGCAGTCGGTGAAGGAAGCTCTGACCTCCGTGTGCGGCCCAGACAAGGTCATGTACGCTTCTGGAGCCGGCTACAAGATCCTGTGCGTCATCCAGGGCCTGGTGGACGCCTACGTCCTGTCAGAAGGCAGCACCTTTAAGTGGGACTCGTGCGCTCCTCACGCCCTGCTGCGGGCCCTGGGAGGGGGCGTGGTGGACTTTGCTTTGAGTCTGCAGCAGTCAGAGAGCGGAGCACAGCATCCCAGGACAGAACTGACATACCATCAGCCTCGCGCTGATCGATCCGGAGCAGACCGCTGGGCCAATCATGGCGGCCTGGTGGCCTACAGAGATGCTTCTCAGCTCTGCACCGTCATGGGAGCCCTGAGAGGCAAACACTAGGTAAAAATACCTCGTGCCTCTAAGAGGAGTTTGAATATACCACAATATTTATATTTTCTATGTTAGTGGAGGGATATGGGTGTGAACAGAAATATTTCAGCTACAAACTAACCAGATTTCTATGGAGTGTTGCCAACTAAATGTGAGAATTTCTTTTGAATTATGTTAAATATGAAAACTCTGACAAGCAAGCAAACATTTAAAGTCTAAAATGTGGTTGTGTTCATAAATTGAAGTCATTGTAAATGTATTGAAAAATCAAATCGCTTTGCATCATTACAACCAGTCGAGCGTGCATTTATATGGAGATCTGGAGGCAACTTGGGATTAAGTGCCTTGCCATGTGGAAGCTGGACACAAACCTACGATGTATTTTGTATAAAAGATAATGAAATTAAATAAATTTATTCACAGAAAACTTTGTGTTTTTTATGAGTGAAAGTGAAAGCCAAGTTTCCATATCCTGTTTCTTTAACTCAACACTGAGATGCAGGAATGCACCACTTTGTTGGTTTGTTATACAAAATGTTGAGGCTTGCTTTAGTAACCTGCCAAAATGTGGAAACCTTCAAGGGAAATGAATGTCTGTACAAATACACAGAAATATGCTTTTATACAGACCCAAATATTCATATCTATGAATGTGTTTTGTTTTTTTTTTTACCTTGATGTCGGAGTTGATCTTTTTGAAACATCTCCATGTAAGGAGCAGAGAGATTTGAAGGTGCCCTGTTTTCATAAGCATAACACAGCCGGTCAAAGTTCAATGAGGGGAAAATGAGGCAAAACGGTGAAGGTACTTTTTTAGGTCAGATTGGATGAAAAGGACTGACTACATGATGGTGGCTGAATAAACTGTTGTGATGTCAAACAAGGTGAAAATGAGTAGAAAACACAGCAAACATTGTTACATCTTGGAAATCATCTTTATTTTGAAAACCAGAGAAAGTAGGGGAAATAAACCCAAGATTATTACTTTAAAACCGTTCACCAACTGGGAACTCTCCTCTGAACTTCATACAAAAAAACCCTGATGATTGTCAAATATTTTTGCAATATTTCTGCATAATCTGTTGAAAAACATAAAAAGGAAACAGAACACTGACATGTTGAATCGTTCAGACCTCTTGCACTCTGACCTGCTACTTTTTAAACGTGCAGCACTTCATTTTCTCAAATCACAGAGTTGAAAACAGATTTAACGCATCATGGATGAAGCTGTGCAGTTCCTGCATGAGCTGGAGATCTGGGTGTAGTAGCTGTTGAAATGTGACAAGTTATTTTAACTGATCAATTTCTGAAATTCACTCCTCGTTAGGACATTTTTGTCTTCATTGGAGAGATAGCTTTTCATAAAGGGAGCCTCAGATTCCACACATTTCCTTTGTGTGAGGAAAAACCTTTATATATATATATATATTTTTTTTTTTTTGCAGGTGCAGAAGCAGAGATTTCCTGCAGAAACAGGCATCTGCAACAAGAGCTCCTTTTAGGCGTTCACTCTGTGTTACCATAACAAAACTCATCTTCTCCAGAGCGCAGTGGCTGTGCAAACGTAAAATCTGTAAGTGAGCTGCTGTCGAGCTCTGTGAGTAAGACCTCCCACTCACCTGCAGCTGGAGGTTTAGCTTCAAAACCACTGAATCCAAATCAGTACAGCTTTTTATTACAGCGCCGGGTGTGCAAAAACAAAAGTCCTAGAAAGGAGAAAATTAACACAATAGAAAACTTCCTATGAATATAAAATATAACCTTTATCAAGTGCCTCAGTCTCTCTCTCACGCGCACACACACACACACACACACACACACACACACACACAGTTGCCTTTTTCAATAACCGCCCACAATCTTCAAGTCAGATGTAAACAATGCAGCAGGTTGCTTTTACAAGGCTACAGGCAAAACAAAAAAGGTTTCATTAATTATTCATTAATTTCTAGGCAAGGCCCATGTGAACTTAACTGTCTTTTTGAATGTTAATATAACCAGTAAGCACTGGGTAGATTTCCTGTGAACCTGTAATGTGGAAATCTGAACCATAACAACATTTTGGGTGCAGAACATGACGTGAACTGGGACATCAACGCAGTAATCATGGAGTAAAACATGCTAAAAACATGCAACAACTTCAGCTTAGGGGGAAAAGCCACAGAAAAATTTAGATAACTGGAACAGAAATTATCTCAGCAGCTAAAAGAAAAGTAGAGCACATCAACAACGTAGCAGCATACATGTCCTATTGTTGCGTTTGTCTTCAACCTTGCTGCTTAAGTCAGAACAAAAAGCATCAGAATTGTTCTTCTGCTTGAATCTGTGAACTCTCTGAAGCTGGACTGAATATTTTCATCTGAAAACATTTTATCTTCAGGATTTAGACAAAAATACCCTCAATTACGCATTAGATATATTCATAATAAATAATCATAGTGACAGGTGTGTAACCTGCTAATGCAAAACAAATAAGAGGCTTCAAGACTTGTTGCTAATGGAAAATATCAGGACTAAACAGACTTTCTATGCTTTTTGAGAGCTCTGAAGCATTAAAACAAAAATAGTTTTATCAATCATTAGGCTGTCATACAGTGTCTTGCAGAAGTGTTCACATCTCTTGGACCTTGTGACACTTTGCCACATTACAACCATATTTTAATTTTTAATAAGACCACCACAGAAGTCCCTTTTGAGATTTGTTACAACTTTTAAACCAACATCCAAAACACGACTTGTGGCGAAAAGTAAAGCCTTGAACATACTATTCCCATTGTATAGCATGGTAGTGGCTGCATTATGTTGGGGGATGTTTGTCTTGCTATATAGCAAGATATAGAGGTTTGTTTTATGTAAATAAGTGATGAAATAGCACTTGTTCCATTGGTAGATGAATTAATTTATGGGAAAAATGTCACGTTATAAGAGAAACTGCCGATAGATGTAGTGCTTTTTCATCAATAATAAGAAATTATTTATTTAAACAAGCCTCTATATCCTGCTGTAAAGTTACTTGTGAGTTAGTTTTGTCTTACTTCAGAGATCTAAAGATATTTTCTTTAGAAACCAGACAAAAAAATACTTAGATTTTGTGTTTTAGCAGTGGTGTGTTTTGACTGTATGGCACACTTTTTAATTTTCTACTTATTAAATAAAATCATTTGTGTGAAATCCCAGTAAAACACCTAGAGGTTTATGAGCGCCACAAAATGAAATTTACAGAAATGTTCCAAGGGGTGTAAATACTTCTGCAGGACAGTGTAACGACACATCAGGTCAAGAACAAAGAAACGGACGTGCTGTGCGTCGTTGTGTCCTGTTGGCGTGGTTCAGATTCATCCCGTCTGTTTGGGTTGGACAAGGCTTTGCTCCAGAAGCAGAAAACAAACAAACACGCGGCAATAACAACAACAGTAACACTGACATGTTAAGCTGCACAAGCCCTCTTCTTCATTTCTCAGCTGGAAATCTGAATGAGCGTCGCCTTCACCTCTACCGATTCTCTCTCTCGGCAAAGAGCCCAAAAATTAACCCGATACAAAAAAGCAGTAAGAAAACTGAAGCGGCGTTAAAAAGAGGTGAATAAATCATGCAGTAATGGATTTGGCAGGAAATTCTCAACAAAAAAAAAAAGAAGAAAATGCTTCATTACGGCATCAGAGGGATCTCGGTTGTCAAGGCTACAGTCATGAGTGAGACCAGCAACACAACGGGACGAAATGACAGATAAAGCACCGACACTGCCACTTCCTCCGCCTTCGACTGGCTCCTCTTCCAGATCCAGTCCCTCTCTGCTTGGCGGATCCGACTGCAGCTTCACCCTCAACCACTCTTCAGATCTTGGCACGCCCACAGGCAGGCGAGAGACAAACATGGCCTTTTTTTTTTTTTTATCGCATCCCAGTTTTGACACACCAGCGAGTAAACGGACTTCACCTCTGGAAGGGTTTTCGGACCTTCTTTCTCCTCCTGGGGGGTTTGCCGCCGTCGGGCCACGTCTCGCTGGAATCTGACCGAAGGCCCCCCGGCATGTAGAAACCTGTCTGACCCGGGGGAGGGGAGAAAGGAGCAGGTCCAGCACCGGGCGGGTGGTGATGGGGCGGACCTGAGGGAAAGAAGCCCCCGCCGTTGGCAGCCATGTCATTCGGCGGTCCACCCTTGAACATTCTGTTGAAGAAGTCCTGCAAGTCAGCCGGGTGTGAAGGACCGCTGGCGTGCTCCGAGGGGCTCCTGGAAGGGAACACAGGAAGTTCAGGACTGCTTTTTGCTCGTGCCAAAGCATAAACATTATCGACCTTTTGCCCGTGACGCCACGCTCTTCAGAACGCGGCCCGCTCCGCCATGATGGACGTTAAAACAACCTCAGTGCTCCTGAGGCTCGTCAAAAACTAGACCGCCGGTGGCCTAATAACACTTTTATTTAGTTGATTTCACTTTTACAAAGATTAAAACAATCTTTGATCATTTCATTTGGAATAACAGTCGTGCCACATCAGGTTTGCCATCATTATATCTTCCATGTGACTGAGGAGTGCCACATTGTAAGTGGTACAACTGGGCTACTCAGCTCTCTAGTGCCTCCTGCTGGTTCTCATCGACAGCTTCGTCTTGGGGAAGTCCAGAAATGACCTAAATTTAAACCTATATTCAAGGAAATACAAAATGTATTGAAAACGTGGCGCACAGACAAGGATTTATTATTTGATTGTGCGCATTTTAATGAGGGAAGACATGACAGCGGTGGATAACAGCTGTCAATCATAATGACTGCAGGCCGCAGCGTTAATCGTGGATTTGAAGCAAACACTTTTTTCATCCATGCATAATACAGAATAAAACAAACAGCTTTGATATATTAGGAAAATGTTTGTCACAAACCTAATCTTCGGAAAGCTGACAGAGAATATAATTAACAATAAAAAGAATAAAACTGTGGAATACATCAATATAATGAGATGCAATAAAGTCAAATATATGACTTGTTCTATTCATGATTCCATGTATTTGTTTCTATCAGTTCTACATTTTATGCTACTGTGGATCTGTTTCACACAGACTGGATAGTCAACTCAATACATGACTATCATGTCACAGCAGGAAGTGAACTGATCGCACATTTAAAGTGTGATCTCTGTAATTAACAGCTGCGGACCAACAACGTGCTGTCGTCCTAATGAACCGTCCGCCGCACGCAGCAGGGACAGTCCCCAACGAGAACGTTGGTGTCAGAGGTTTCTTTATGCTGACAGAAATAAATCTGGGAGCAAATGTGAATTTCTGTTAAAAGATAAACTAACATAAAAATGACCACTCACTGTTGAGCTTGTTCTCTAAATTAAACATCAAGGAGGTTTGAAGATCAGGTTAATTATTCATTATTACAACTTAAAGATGTTTACTTTGACTCCTCTCATGACAAAAAATGTCATAATTATAGATCTGTTTGAATATCTCGGGTGAAAAAATTCAGGAAGAAAAACTGTTTCACTGTATGTGTGTTCATTTTTATTGAATAAATCATGAAACAGCGCCAGCAAGTGTCGACGTCCTTACATTTGTTGTGCACTGAGGGGAAAAAAACTAAGTAGAAATAAGAACGGTAAAATTAAAAGAAAGATATCATCCTCAGTTTCTAACATTTGTATGAACTCTTGGCATAAAACCTGAATCTGTTATGCTTTGTGATGTGTATAATTCTTCTATAATCCTGGATCACGTTTTACAGCTTAGTCAGAAATGGACCGATTTCTTTTGTTGAGGTTTTCTTTGTGTGTCGCTCAGTTTCAATTGGTTTACAATTCAATGAAGAAGAAAATCTAACATCTTTTGACCAGAGGAGTCCAAAGTGGGATAATAATTCTGTGCAGCCTTTGATCGTTATTTAAAAATGCCACGAATTTGGTTCGAGAGCACAGGCAGCACTTTATTTAATTTTGGTGACAAGTTCAACTTTGCCTCTCGCTTTCCAAATACTTTCAGCCTTTTTACAGCAGATCAATAAAAATGACTCAACCCTACATTTGACAGCCAAGGAGAAAACATAGTCCCAGCAATAAAACCAAAGTTCAATGAGAATGATTCCTATTTGGCAAAGAGGAATGATTATAAAGCTGAATTATTTAGCTTTATAATGGTTACATGTTGACTTTATTTGGACGATCATAGAAATTATGCATCAGATCCAGGAAGCCTGACATCCTGTGTTATTAATCAACACTTGAATCAGCTTGAGTCTGAAATGTTTAATAGAGTTAATATTTAAATTAGTTACACCATTTGCCATTGCATCCTTGAAATTAATTATGGTTTATTTTAGCTAGACAAGTCTTATCACAACAAGCTGGTACTCACTGCTTCCTAAAGCTGTCACTGCAGGCACTGCAGGTATTATTAATTAAAAACTGACTAAAACTCAGATGTAGTTTCAGCTTATGGTCAACTGTTTCTACAATTAATCTGTAAAAAAAAAAAAAGGAACTTGAAAGAAAAAATTGTTTGTAAGGCGTCTTCTTCAATGTTCATATGTTTTTGATGAACAATAATCTTTGGTTTTCATCACCTATCAGCCACAATCATAAAAATAAACAGAAATAAACCTTTAGAATATATTACTCTGCTTGTAAAAAAAATAAATAAATCTACGTATTACATAAAAGTTGTACTTGTTTTAATTAAATCATTAAAATAAATGTACTTAACGGTGGTCTTCTAGTTTAGTGATGCGCCTGCACCGTCGGTGGGTCGTACCTGTGTCGCGTGGTGCTGCTGCTGCTGTTGTTCTTTGAGCCAAACGAGATGTGGTACGGGACGCGGTGGGTATCGGGGGAAATGCTTATTCTTTGGCAACCTGCCCACTCTGGAACATGACAGCAAACAAACAACATGTTGATTTTCACAGCAGCATTCAATACATTGAAAACATATTTAAACACTGACGTTATCTAAAAGACTTTTTTGGTCTGTTGCACTTTTGAAAAGAAAACGCTGACATGACTTTATACATCAGGGATCATCATAAATATGGCCTGCAGAGCTTTAGAAAGGATGAATAACAGCTCAGCGACAGCGAGGAGGCAAATTAAAGGTCACTGATGCTTTGTGGCATATTTTGTATTCAGCCAGCAGAAGTTCATTGTCCAAACAACAAAGATGCATTCTCTTTGCTTCCTGCTGTTTCTCGCTGGTACCATTCTACCCATCTGGCACATATAACCTTACCAAGCAACAAAACAAAAACCTTTTACAAATGACCAATTACCAATGTAAATAACAAAAGTATACATTTCAAAAATCATCTATAAGTAAGCAGAGTGAAGGTAAGCTTTTAGTTGACCCTTTTTAATCTAAAATTAGGGACAAATACCAAACTACTCATGACATACAACGCCCCTTAAACCAAAACATTGGCTTAATGTTTTAAGTGGATAAAGTTGTTTTAAACAAGTCAGCCAGTTTAGAAGGTAGTTTGAGTAACAGAGTCTAACGGCAAAAGGCATCAACAAATTCCTCAGAAAACTAAATGTTGTTGCGCATCCATCTGGAGAACTCTACAAGGCCATTCAAAAATAATCTGGAAGATGTTCAAGAGCATTCCTCCCAAAAGTGGGCGTCCCAATCAAGTGCAGCCTCGGGTCAAATCCTGAACTCAAAGAAAAAACTGCAAACAGTCGGAATGCCTCTGCTCATTTCTTAAGTGTTCAAGTTTATGAGGAAAATTTTAAAGTGAAAATTGTAAAATTACAGCTTTGTTTCTTAAAGCTACACCTGAAGAAACCTGGATGAAATATCTTCTGGACAGACAAGAACCCAATGCAGAGCAGAACGCTGGATGAAAACCAAACAGCATCAATGCAGTCTTGTCTGCTTAGAGTGGATTTGTGTCGTCTGTTCAGAGTGAAGATCTGGTGTGGACTCGATTAACGCTTCAGTTCTGATACAGCAAATCTCTTACAGAGTGTGGAGGAGTGTAAATTTCTTAAATAGCTTGTAGGTTTTAATAGTTTTACTTCCTTCTTTCCCTTTTAAGGATGCAAATATGCTTGTGAAGGCCATGTGACTTTGACTGAGCCATTTTAACACATGAATATGATTTGATTCAAGCTAGAGCTCCAACTGACTTATTTTAGTAATCGGTTATTCTGGTGAGTAATATGATTCTAAAAAATGGCACATTCTGCAAATTTTTCATTGTACCACTTAGTTCTTTTTCATACAAAATGAGAAATACTTTCTACATAGCAGTCCTTCAGTGTACACTCAATCATTTGTAGCAAAGAATTTATACGCATTTTTAAAAAATTCTTCCGACATCAACATGTGAAAAGCATTTTAGACCTTTCTGCTAAAATTCTGCTAAAAGAGGAACAGAGTCTTCCTCAGCATAATGGTGCCACCACTGTATTTTACCATGGAGGTAGTGTGTTTAGGGTGACATTCAGCATTTGTTGCCAAAGAGTTGAGATTTTGTTTCATCCAAGCAGAACGTCTTTTTCCACAGGTTTTACACCGTTAACCATCAGATGACGGATTATTTACTCTTTGACAGTGAATAATCTCACAGATAGCTTGTCTTATAATATGACAAGGTACAACATTTACAAGGTAGAAGCAATGTATTTCCCATGAAGCACAATCTTGAAAGCCTTAGTCTTGAGTTTAGACAGAAATAAACTGATCAAAATGGCTGTTCACCTGTAATATCATATACTTTTCCTTCCATACAAGCAAAGTACGTGATACGTAAGCCCAACATGCTGGACTCGGCCCACAGGTCTCCCTCCTCGGCGCTATGGCAACGGTTGCATTCAGCACAGAAGCGGGCTTCAGCAGGATCTCGATCCATCTCGAACCGCCTGCACAGACGGGTCATGAAGAAAAAAACCCACTGAAGCGGAACAACGTTCACAATGACGGCTCCAGGATGAGTAATACTGAACCCATCAGATTGATACAGTGATGTCAGATGTGCATCAACGTACTTGTGCTTGCCTTCACACTTTGTGCACATCATGGTGTTCATGGCTTCCTTCAGGTCATCCTGCAGTTTAGTGAGAAACTCGTTCATGGACTTTGAGAGCTCGGTTGCTGCCATGCGCTTCCTGTGTGGGAAAGACACAACTTGTGATTCAAGACAATTCAGAAGTTACATACCTAATAAATCTAAAGGGAAAAACTTTAATATTCTCTGAATTCTGCAACTGTTTTAAAAGTCGTATTTGATTTTTTTTCTGCACTGGAATCACAAAGCAGATGCAAACCAGCATATCCAAGCAGCTAGATTGGCTTTTGGTAGCCATCTTCACTTCAGCCATGAAAGCAAACGCAGAAGTGACCAAAGAAAGAGAAAAAATATGCAATTTTTCTAAACAGAGAACTTTCCTTAAAACTCCTAAATCAAGAAGTGAGATTGACTGCAATGTTTCCAGACATGCTGGGCAAGTCCAGCAATTTATTTGATGAGGAAACTCTGCCTTATTACAAGAGAGGATACATTTTCTGATCTTGCATCAACAATCTCACCATTTTTTAGCAGCTGTTTATCTTTTCATATAACCCATTATAATTAAAAATGCAAGGCTATTGCCAGGCTGTAATTTACAAAAAGATAAGTCAGAAATAAGTAGGTGACACTTTAAATACACATAATACTTCCTCAAAAGGCAGGAAAACTGTCAATTGTGAGGCCATTTGCTCAGTAACTATTTTAAAGAAGTATTGTATTTTCCAGGCACATAGTGTCATTTTATAGCACAGTCAAGTAATTATGTTACCTTCAGTTGCTATAAAATGCTATAAATATCAAATATGACTCCTGCGCCTGCACATCATCACAGCAATGCTTCTCTTGAAGCCGTTTATAGCCGTTGTTAGGAGAAGCACTGAGCAGTAGTTTGCATAAGCTGAGCAGATGTGTCGTTCCAGGTGTGATTTGTGTTAGCAATCCTTTAGCCACCCTTGAATAGTTGCCCTGGAAGATTTAAGGACTTCTCAAACATGCATGAAAGACTCACAGCAACACTCCAGGTATGTTTTTGATGAGGGAATAACATTATAACATGACATAAAGCTCATAAAAGCCTTTTATTTCCAGCTTCACAAATAGAAAAGCTCAGGTTTGGTCATGCTCAGCCAGAGTAAATGGCTTTAGTGTTACTCTTTCTGTCACAGAAGGAAAAATTAATCTAGAAGGCAGAAAAGTGTTTTTTAATATAAAACAGAAGTTTGTGACGCTGCTGAGAAGTGTAATAAATAACACTCAGCTGCATTGCCTGAGCAAATGACAAAAGCCAAAAGAAGAAAGATATTAAAATCAAGAAACTATATTTATTGTATGTTCATGTTAAGATGTCCTTGCTAACAGTGCGTTGTTCCTCAGGGGTCTGATTACTTTTTCCTACTTACAGCTCATACTCTCGTCGTGTCTCAGGGTTGCTGACGATATCCCAGGCTGCCCTCAGAACCTTGAACGCCTCTCCAGCTCGCGGATGTTTGTTCTTGTCTGGATGGACCTGAAAGCACAAATGTCACGGTTATTGAAGTAAGAAGGGTAAAAAAGGTACCTGACTCCAGATTAACCACACACACCTGGACAGCTAGCTGTCTGTAGGCCTTCTTCAGCTCGGTCTCTGTGGCATCCACCTCCACGCCCAGCACCGTGAAGGGGTCAAGCTCCGCCTCTGGCACCTCGGCTAGCGCCAGCAGTCGCTCCAATTCCTGAATTGGCTCCCCTCTTCCGGCTCTGCTGGGCGACGACGGCGATGACGGCGTGTTGCGACACTTCCTGAACCAGCTCCGGACTCTCTCCAGCACAGACGCCAGCCTCTTCCAGACCTGTGACTCCAGAAAAGCCGTCCAATAGCGTTTACCCCGCTCACCACCAACACGCAGCAGCAACCTCTTTACCCACTGGAAACTCAAAATAACTAAAGCGCAGAAAAGTCTGAAACAAGAGGAGACGGATGACTTTATCCACTTAAGAGTCCTCACAGTTTTATCCAAAAGGTCTGCTCCAGCACATTTCATCTGCTTCAAAACCCGGTCAAAGTCCGCTTTCATTCCAGGCAGATCGGTGACCTTAACAAGAATCTTTTTCCCACAGTTGTAAAGTTTCAAAAACCCCATTTCCACTCCCACTCCACAGTTGTGAGTTAATGTCACAATAATCTCAATCAGCATGTGGATGCAAGAAATGCACCAGACGCTCACGGACTCTGACAGCATCTCTCTGAAAGCAAAGAAGAGCTGTTTTCCCGTCCGCCTGCGACCGCGGCTCTGCTGATGGTGGTGATGGTTGCGTCTGCGAGTCTGCTTGTGCCGACTTCCACTGGACGGGATGGTGCCTTTCTGAAAGCTCTGCTCGAACAGAGAGCCGCCACTCCTCAACTTGCACCTCCGTCCACCTCCCAGCGCCCTCCAGCCGGACTCTCCGTTCATCTGTTGCTCCTTGGCAGCTTCATCTTCTTCTTGATTTATAAGCTGTGGGTTCTCATGATCCAAGTCTTGTTCAAACCCCTCTGAAACCTCTTCTGTGTCCTCTTTAGCCTCCATGGATTCACATGACTCTACGTCACCCGTTCCAGGGTCAATAACTGGAGTTTCCTGAGAGTTGAGATGGGCCGTATTTTGCTCCTGGGTGCACTCATCATTCTCTCCAGCCTGCTGCAGCCTAAAACTGGCCTCCGAGACAAAACCACCATCACAAACCTCCTCATCATCCATCTCTTCCTTCTCCATGTCCCTCACAGTTGTCAGATAGAAAAGGGACAAAAGTTTCCTAACTCCATGATCTGCTGCAGAGTTTCCTCCATTTGGTCATATCAAAATGAAATTGGGGTTCCTCACAGCTAACATTATGAAATAGGCCACCTGAAAAGAAATAGATCAGAAAACAAAACAGCTCCTTCAATCAAAAAAAGAACCTTAAAGTTCAAATAAACACACATATAAGGTAACATAAGTTAGTAAAATGTGAATATCTGTGCCAGACTTTCTGCCAGTGCACAAAGGCACTGATGTTAGTAAAAATTTGATTTTTAACTCATTTTATTTCCTAAAGTAGCCAGAAATATTCTATATTGTAATTTAACCAACAAAACTTTCATCATCAAAATGCAGACACTGTGCCTTGCTAACCTATTCATACTTCTTGAACTTTTTCACATTTTAACTCACAATACAACTACAAACTTCTAGGTGCTTTGCTTGAACTTAATGTTACAAACCAACGCGACATAGCACATAACATTGAAAACAGAAAATCTTGGATGGCTTTTCTATTTTTGTCTTACCCAAGTTTAATCTCTATTCAACCCCTGCACTCTGATGCCAATGAAAAGGCCATTAAGTAAAATAAAACCCATAAGGAGTGCCATTTAAAGTTCGTCACAAGCCAAGTGACGAACAGGCATAGTAAAAAACTGAATAGTACATTAAAACTCAAAGCAAGAAGAAAACACAATGAGCTCAAGTCTCTGCTCACCAAAGCTGTGGAACATTTGCTTTTACACCAAATATTCCCTTTTAAATATCAATGTAATTATTCAGAAGTACAACAACAGTAGAAGGAAAGGCTTTTTGTAATCTATTGTATTAAGGTGCACAGACTGTAATGCATGATATGTATCTATTGATTTTTTTAAACGTATGAAAGTCAATGATTCGTAATGCACAACTACATAGTTTTGAATAATAGCAAACCTTAATGTTTTGAAGAAATTCATCAGAAAAAGCAAAGCATCGTAACTTATGGTTTGCAGGTGAATGGCTGTATTTGTTCGGCATTTGATTAAGTTAAACTTAAAAAGCTTGCTCAAACACAAACCTATATCATCAATTGCAATAAATATCACAACTTTTTTATGACTAACGCAGTCAACGGGAGTTTATCTGAACCGTGAGCAGAAACACGAAATTTAAAAGCAGACTTTTCTGACAGTAACCTGGCTGTCACACAGAAAATCATCTTAATCCCGTTGAAAGCTCCATGTTTTTCTTGAAACGACGAATGTTAGCAAGCAGCCAGGGTGTTAGCATGAGAAAGCAGGAAGACAAATATTCCTGGTAATATTAGCTTCTGCTGAGTCCAACTTAGAAATTATTTAATCAAATATGGCATTACTCGCAGAGAAAAAAAAAAATGAGACATAAAAAAAAAACAGCAAGTCTGAACGGAATTAGCTCGCCAGAAGCTAACTCTTAGCCAATGATACTAACTGAACCTGTTATTATTAGCGCCTGTTTCCTCTTCCTGACAGCTCAGACGAGCTTAAAAACACAGAAGGGCTCCAGCGAGAGCCAGAGCCGTTTAACACATTTCGCTCAAAAAAGACTAGAGTCATTTAACATACCTTTAAGATGAATGTGTAACCTTGTTTGTGAACAGAAAGCCAACTGTTTCTTTTTCTCCTCTAATTCCTTCTGTGGTTTTCTGACAGTGAGCAGACACCAGAGACGCGGTGCTGCCACCTAGTGTTCAACAGACAGATCAGGCTCGACGGGCTTGTTTATATTTCTGTTTAAACTGTTGCCAGTCACCAACTTCCAATCTTAAAGTTAGTCAAACCATAATTAATTGACTGAAATAAAATTGGATTTAATCTGAATTAGGACATAAATTAGGAATTACAATATAAATAATAACATTCAGCTTGAATTTCTTTGCGTGGCCCCCAGTCAGTTAGAGAGACAATTTGAAACCAAGGAGCCCACACATGCAATCCCACAAACCATTTTTGCTTGGTTGTAGACTAGTAAACGGTGATCTGGAAAAATAACTTTTGAACATTCCCACAGGTTAATGCTACAGTCATATAAATATGATGCATTTTATTGTAATTTTATATGACAGATCAACCCAAAGCTGTATAGAACAGTGAAGGGGAAGGAAATATTTTTTTTAAAAATCTAAAGCAGCCAATTAATTAGCAACAAAGAAGGCAGCCTAATTTTACTAGAAATCCAGCTGTACTGCAAAGTTCTCAGTGGCTTGTTAGATAATTGTACAAACATGATGTTCTGCATCAGAGAGGAGCAAAACTGAACTATTCTGCCAGCATGCAAAACAATATACGCTATGCAAGAAATATTCCTAAGTAAAAAGGGATTTTTTTTATTTTACTGAATACTTTAAATATGTTTTTCAGCAGTACAATAAATTAAAATGTATCTCTAGTCTATTCATTTTCAACTATTTAAGTTTTTTGGTCTTTGTTTTAACTTAATGTAGTACTAATGCTATTTATACCAAGGACTGGAAGTTTTTGCAACCTTTCAATTTTTCCACATTTTGTCACCTTGCAATTCTAAACTTCATTGTGCTTACTTGGGATGACACACATTTTACTCTGACACTTAAACACCCCTGAACAAAGGCTATTTGTAGAATGAAACCCATGATACATTTATTTTACGCTAAGCAAAGAAGAAGGTAACTTGGTCAGATGAGATGAAAATTCAACCCAAGCTAACATGCAAAGTGTTTGTGTGATGGAAAACTTTCACTGCTGTCACCTTGTCATCAGAATCCAAAGTGAGACACGATGAAGGCAGCATGATGCTGTGGCAATGTTTTTCTCCAGAAGGGTCACGGAAGCTAATAAAAGTTTTACAAAACAAACGTGTCTTTTTTTGTGCAATCACTTCCAATGGATTCAGAGTAGAACAGAGCTGGCCCTCTTTACCAACTTGATGTTGTTGTTTTTTTATTTCGCTGACTTTATTCAAAACAGAATGAGTTGTCTCAATTTCAGGGTCCATTTATTTCCAATTAGTTCTATTGACACTGGCAAGATGAGTGTCAGAATGGTCCAGTCAAAGCCCAGAGTTAAATTAAATAAATTCAATTAACAATCTTCATTCTCTAGATGCATAACACTGAAATTCACGCCGCACTTTTCGGATTATATTTGCTATATATAATATATATATATATATATAGATATATATATATAATATATATATATATATATATATATATATATATATATATTATATATAAATATATATACGTTTTAATTAAATCAGAGCATTGTCCTCCCACTTCGCTACTTTGTGTTTATCAATTTAAATATCAAGAGAAATGCGGTGGAGTTTGTTCAATTCAGTGAAGCCGTGTCATTCTCAGACCAATGAGACATGAACCGTAATGTCCCTCATTTCTTGGCCATTTTCAAAGGCGAGTCTCCACGATGACTCTCCATCCGGAGGGTCTTTCGACACGGTGAGCCTCCGGGAATCCCCTGCAGCCTCTGCGCGAAGGACTGATCTCGAAGACGCACGAGGGTTAATTTCAAGCCCCCACTACGCCGCCGCCCACGTCTCCAATTTGAAAGCCGCCTCTCTACCGGGAGAGGAAGGCTCTTTTTCGGTCAGATGGCGTGCTGCAGTCCGCCCCCGTCATTCTCCAGCCCACGCAGACGGCAAAAAAGGCAGCCAGCAACCAATACGGTGCGCCGGAGGAGGATTTCTGCCAGTGATATCAGCCGAGGAGCGAAACGCGAAGGGGATTTACTACGGCAAAATCTGCGCCGCGGAGGCTCTCGGCGAGAGGTAAGAGCAACGAATAGGACATTGAGCGCGACGTGACGCCGAGCAGGGTGTCCTCCTCCAGCGGCTCAGAGAGGAGCCGGTGATCTGAGCGTGTGCTGCTCCCGACTCCAACACCGGCTGATCTTGTGTTTCTTTGTCAGTTTCGCTCCGGGAGTTGCGAGCCGTGACATTTGAGAGACTGTTTCCCAGTTTAGGCGGAACAGACCTTCACAAGAAACCTGAAAAGGTAAGAACATATGTCAATACTTTTATTTGTACGGGAAAAGGCATGCATGAAAAATAGAGAGTGGTTGTTGTTGTTTTCATAGAACGCCAGACTTCAAGAACTTCTTGAAAGCAAGGGGAAAGCTTTTGAACTTATGTTTGGACCTCATGCCAGAGTCTTCACATCTCCAGTTCTTCTCTCTCTGCAGGTTCATGCGATTCCCCTCCGCCGTTTGAACTTTCCAGTGCTGTGTGCCATGTCTCTGCCACGCACCCTCGGGGAGTTGCAACTCTACCGGGTGCTGCAGAGGGCCAACCTGCTGGCCTACTATGAAACCTTCATCCAGCAAGGCGGCGACGACGTGCAGCAGCTCTGCGAGGCTGCCGAGGAGGAGTTCCTGGAAATTATGGCCCTGGTTGGCATGGCCACGAAGCCGCTGCATGTGCGTAGGCTGCAGAAGGCTCTCCGCGACTGGGCGGCGAACCCTGCCCTTTTCAGTCAGCCCGTCGCTAATGTCCCTCTTGGGGGGATCCCGCTGTTCAAAGTGGAAGGGACGGGCTCCAGCGGGTCAGCTAGCGGGCACAGGAAGGCTTTGAGCAACGGGCAGCCTGGTTCCCCCTGCGAGAGAGAGGACCGGGCGTGTCTTACCCCGATGTACAGCGGCAGTCCGAGAAGTCCCTGCTCCCAGGCATCTCCGCAGCCACCGGACACACACTACAGGGAAAAACTCTCCCCCATGGACCCGCACTGGCTCAGCCCAGACCCAGATGGGAATGGCGCTCTTGCCTCTGCATCTGGACCTGAGGAGGAACCACACAGCCCGCCTCTCCTGTCCACGGGGCCTACGGGTCCTTCCACGTCGCCAGTGCCCTCCGCGTCCTTCACCCCAGCACCCCTGTCAGCGTGGCCAGGAGGGCAGCTGGACGAGGAGACGGCCAGGGCCGTGGTGGAGAGCGTGGAGAGACTCTACAGGACCCTGCCCAGGTCAGACCCCGCAGAGGTAAAAACTCTGCTGAGGATGAACAAGAAAATAGCAAAAACCGTGGGTCACATCTTCAGAATGGGCTCGCAGGATGCAAGCAAGGAGGAGGAGATCCGGAAATACAGCCTCATTTATGGTCGTTTTGACTCCAAGAGGAGAGAGGGCAAGCAGCTCACACACCATGAGGTAAACTCAGACAAGCTAAAGCTGCCAGCTTTCACCCTGCTTCAACGGCAGCTTGAAAGGATCCATAAGTCCTTCACGCGTTGCGTTTTTTCCTCCCCAGTTGATCATCAATGAAGCTGCTGCCCAGTTCTGCATGAGGGACAACGCTCTCCTGCTCAGACGGGTGGAGCTCTTTTCTCTGGCTCGACAGGTGGCCAGGAAATGTGCCTACACCTCCACACTGAAACATGCAAGGTAAGGGTTTCAGTGACATTCACGCCTTACTCCCAAGCCTAGCATCCAAATACTGAACATCCATCGGCACATTTTTCATGCATTTTTGAAGCTGGGCTTCTTTCTACCCAGCCCTGATACATACATTGACAAAGTTACTTTTGCCAGCTTGTAAATCCCCTGATGCTAAAAGTCAGTTTTGGTTTGCACATCTGATCAACCCCAAACACCTTCAAACCACATTTGCACCTCAATAGACCTCTCTATGTGTGCATTTTCACTTTTCCACAACTTGAATTTACTGTGGCATTTTCGATACCAGTACCTGAAAATGCAGATTTAGCTTAATTAGAACATAGACGCTGAGTTAATACAAAAATGTAGTATTTTAGTATCAATTTAAGCCATCATACTGTGAAGTAGTAGTCCCACAATTTCAATCTGAAGGAGGGGAAGATTTATAAAAAAAAAAAAACATCTTAAGACCCGTTTTTAGAAAGATGTTGAGTTGGAAACAAAAATGTACAACTCACAATTTAAAAAAAAATAATTGAAAACTCACTCATGATTGGATTTCTGTACAAGTGTTAGAAAAACATATTTACCTTTTGAGAAAGGTAAATATGTCAACCCTAAAACTATCAGTGTAACAAATACTCTTCCATGTTGACATAGTGTCGCAATTTGTGGGATTTTCTGGTAAGGTTTACTTTCCACTTTGAACTTTGTCACTTTAATGAGTTAAAATACTCTTTCAAAGCTCCAAATCGGAGGTGCCACCTCATCTTCATGTTTGTTTGTGTTGCAGGTCAAACGCTGATGAGAGCAGCGGTTTGCCTCAGAAGAGAGCGAGACATGAGGTGAATCTTTGTTGCTGTTCTGTTGGTTATTAGAGCTCATGGGGTCTCATCGTTTGAAGTTGTTTGTGAGCGGCCTGGTATGATGTGTTTTAAGGTCATCGTGTCTGAGTCATCGCTCCTTGGAGTGGAGGGATCTGAAGGAGCGACTCAGAGAGCAGATGAAGACAGCTTGTCTGCAGAGAGCCTTGACTGCGTATCGCTTGGTAACGCTCCACATTGAATTAACTTTAGAAACTATTTTTAAAAAAACACACACACACACAGTTTTAAGCTGAGCTCTGTTTGCTCCGTTAGACTCCAGCTCCCAGTGCAACCAGTCTCCATCCCCCCGTCCCCACACTGACGCCTCGAACCCCGCCAGCTGGAGCCGCCATCTAATACAGCAGACTCTAATGGACGAAGGTCTCCGATTGGCTCGGATGGTGTCACATGACCGGGCGGGGAAGCTCAGCCTGGGGCCAGAGGGAACTCACTCGGCAGGTGACTTTTCAGAGACTCCCATACCTGGATTGTTCAATATAGATTAAACCTGTTATCACAAGGGAGAGGAATGACTTTGGGGGTATTTTCTAAATTTCTGGAAGGTTTAAACAAATGTGATTTGAAAAAAGTCTTCAGTCTAAAGGTGGATAGGTTAGAAATGGGATGGTTAAAGATTTATGAAGGAATATTCAAGAAGTCTCTGACTTTTTCAGTTCAACCTAACCATCATCTTCCTCGTGTTTAAAGGGAGTTTTGAAGTGATGCAGTTGACATCTGACCTGCCGTATTTAACTGCCTGAGCAACATCTTTCACCATAAATCAGCTACTTGGTCCTTGAGGCTACAGAAGCTAAGATCAAAGCAGTCTTTCACGATTTTGACAGAAATAAAAGCTGGAGTGGTTTGTTTCGTTGATGAAATCATGAAACCTTTTCATTTGGTATTTATTTACGCAGAAGGCGCTGATTGTTGGGTCTGAGGCAACATGCCAACAATCACCTTCCTGTGCTAAAAACACACCGAGAACAAAACACGTCAAGTGTTTCTGGTCTAAGTAAGCAGATCACCAAATGAGCTTTAGTCAGATGTTATAACAAGGACTCAGTATCAATATTACTGTGAGTTGTTTTAACAGATGAAAATTCATAATGATGAATGATTGAAACTGACAGGACAGGTGAAATTTTCTTCTCAGAGGATCAGTTGTGGAAAGATATTGATTGACATGAAGTACAACAAAGTTTTGTACTCCACAGTGACCCAACAGAAGACTTTAACTTTCACATCCTTTATCCCAACACACCTGCACTATTCAAACCTGGTGCACATTAAGTTCACAGACACACTTATAAATGTGATTTTGCATTAAATCCTCTTCTTTTCCACATGTTTGAAAATTAATAATACACCATTCCCTTCATGGCTTGTTGCCTCTGGACTCAAAATTGGGATTTTGGGGGGCGGTTTCATTCAAAATAAAACAAAAACATGCCATGAAATCAGAATTTCAACCTGGAAACTTTCAATTTGCCCTTTATTCCTGAGTTGAGAATACAGAATGGCTGCTATACACATAAGACTCAATGAACTATTAATTAACACAAAGTTCACTGTTTTTATGACTTGCGACATATCTTCTGACTCACAGATCCAATCTGAGATGAGACTAATGCACTATTAAAGCCTCACCCTTCTGCTCATTACACTACTTACAATTTTATATTATTACTCTTCCTGAAAATGCTTCACATGTTTGTCTTTCAGTACAGGAATATCACTCTTGGTGCACTCCCTCCTTCCTCCATTTCCTGTGCAAATACTATTTTTTCTGTAAATGAATAAAACAGTTTCACGTGCATGAACTGACATTTGCATAAACCCATATGCTGTGTTTGAAATTGGGCTCACAATGGTAGAAGTCCGATTTCAGACTCGCTCTTAGCTGGAGCCTCAGCACCAGACAATGTTGATTTATTCTAAATGAAGATGCCAGAGTTATCTGCTGCAGGTAAGATAAAACGTGAACTATGATTTCAAAAGCGAATTAGATGGTGGTGGGGCAGAACTGAATAACAGACAGAGACTTCCTAACCTCCAGTAACAATGAATATTTTATAGCTCCACAGTTTGAACCCCAGTGAGTCAGAATCTCTCTGAGGTGACGCCTCCCACCGCTCACAGCTAAACTCCAGCAGGCTGTAAACTAGAAAGGACAGAAGTTGGAAAGGGGAAAACAAGGAGGCTGAGAGGAATAAGTGTGAGAAGGAGGGCAAAGGAGGGAGGGAGACCAAAACACAAAAATAAACGAGAGAGGGCGAGAAAGCATTAATCTGATATTGCACGTCTTTAATCCCTTGTTAGTTTTGTGATGCATCACAAGCAGAAAGTAAGTGGTTTGAGCCGAGTTCGTCGTTCTGGGCTGAGATCGTCAGCTGAAGAGATTAAGCAAAGGAGAAGGAAGCCAGCAAAGACATGAGGAGGCGTGGAGGGAGGGGAGGGGGGGATAGGAAGTACTCTGTGGGCGACAGAATCGGACCCTCCTCCCTGCTTCAGCAGTGACTGACGTCAGAGTGTGTTAGGCGCGTGGGCTGCAGGGCGGGATGGATGGGGCGTGGGGGCGATGGAGTGGGAGGTAATTGGAGGGGCGTTGCATTGACTCACCAAGCGACAGCGTACAAAAATAAAACCTGTGGGCAGGGAAATGGCACAGTGTGTGTGTGTGTGTTTTTTTTTTTAATACATCCTCTCCCTATACCAAAAGGACTGCGGAAATAACAAAACATGACATATGTTTCATCTCTGGCATCAATCTGCCTCACTCTGTCAGGCTCCTGTTTGCTTATCTCTCACTCATTCAAGTTTCCCTCATGTGCGGCACTCATTAATCTCTACTTTCTCCCACTTCCTCTAAACGTCACAAGTTCAGCTGTAACCCATTTTCCACTGTCACAGAGTGTCACAGAGAATAAACCGACAAATACTCTCTTTGTGGGGACTTGTTTCTCCGGCTGAATTAACTTCATTGTCATTTTACCAATTATGAAAGATTTAAAACAGCTTAGAGATTCTAGGGCGGCAATGAAACAATACCTTTTTTTTTGCTTAGTTGCTTTGTTTCATAGCTGCTGGATTAAGACTAAAGAAATGAGAACAAGGATTGGACATGGAATTAGTCCATTTTCAGCTTAACTGGCTCTGATCAGCGACCAGGTAGAAGAAAAATCAGAAGTTGGATTTTTCTGTATTCTGTGAAATGACTAATTGGAAGTGCTACCAGCAAACAAGCATCAACAATTAAGTTAGCTAGTATCTGTTTAGAGAATTGTTTAAAGCAAGCCTGCTGTCTGCTTAGGCTTGAGTTGTAAACAGGAAGGCTGAATAAAATAATCCAACTTTATCTCTAATGACATTCAGTCTCGGTTAGGGAACATCTTTGAAAAGCTGACAGCCATTCTAAAATTTTAAGAGTTAATTAACTATGTTCTAATAGACACATACTGGTTAATGCTAACTATATTAACCACTACTTTAAATGCATACAGAAAGTTGAAACTACGGTTGGGAAATCACCTCACACTGTTTCTAATCATAATGCTGCTGAGTTGCCTGTTGTTGCATATTTGACACATATTAAGAGTAATTCAAGAAGCACTTTGCTGCCATCTAGAGGTCAGATGTTGTGAGCAGTAGTTGATGAAATAGAATAGACTTACAGTAAATTTAGATGGAATTTATTTTCAAAGTCCTGTTTGGCAAAAGCAGCATCAATAAAATGATCCACAGACTAGAAAATGTCATCTCCAATTATGCTTAATATAACTAACTTCCATCCTGCTTCAATTTATATGGATTGTTTGAACTGTACTCCAAGGGACGATCTCTTCTTAATTTTATTCGTTTGTATAACTGTCACACAAAAGTCTGATCCAGCCAGGAATCAGAAATCGTACAGCACCTGAACACCGTGCCAACTGGAAATTAAAAAACTAATTTCACTCTGTACAGTGGAAGATTACTGCTGCAGCTGAATCATGTCTGAAAGTGATATCAGTCCTCCAGTAAATGGAGCTAATGCTCTTATTACCAGAGAAGAGACGGAGAGCGGGTCAAGGAAAATGAGTCAGGAGGGAAACCATTCATAAAATTTGTTGCAGTAGCCGTCAAACTACACAGTCACCAAAAATCCTGGTGCTACTTAATATGAATATAAGTGATTAATGATGAATCTTAACATGAAGGTTATAGAAAAAATATGCTGGTTGGTGCGTCTCGTAATGATTATAACTATGTTTTGCTCTTAATTACAAAATTAAAAAGCAGTAAAATGTGTTTTTCTAATCTTATTTTTAATCTGCTGCCTCTCTCATGTAATTACACAGTGAACCCAAATGTTAGTTCTGTCTATTCTCTGCTTTTTCAGTTTTTTTTTTGTTTTTTTCTACTCAGTTATCACTCCGTTGTCTCTGCTCGCCTGGGGACATTTTGCTACCAGATTGCATTGGTCATATAAACCATGACGACTCCACTTCATGTGGGAGAACTTCCTGGTGAATTCCCCCAAACTAGTATTCAAAGCTTTTAAACACCAGCTGCATGGGATTTCTAAATGGTGTTTATGCTCGGCTTTGCTGCCCCCGTTACATGAAAAGCCAGTAATTTCAAAGCTACAGTCACTGAGATCAAATTTTAAGTTGTCATTGATAGCCTTTACCTAAACACTGCGCTGTAGCGGTCAATTACACACTTCCTGTTTGAGTTGACTTTTGTTTCTAGTCTCATTTTCAAACCCACGTCTCTCCCCAGACCATGACATCAAAGTGGAACGGGCGAGCTTGATAACAGCGTGCCGGAGCAGTAGCCCCTGTGTCACCAAAGAGCCAACCATCACCTCCAACCACAGAGGAAAGTGAAACCCACAACCCTACAGGGGAACTGTGCTCCAACTCAAGCTGTAAATCTAAGACTCTGCAAGGATCCGACTAAATAGGCCCGTCACGTCTTGTAAACGAATCCGCTGTAAATTCAGATCTAAATGTTTCTGTTCTTATATATCTGTTACATGGAAGGAACCCCGTCTCTGTTTGAGTGTCCTGCAGAGTTTAGCCGTGTTCTGTCAGGGAAAATGTTTATGCTGCTGCGAGGATCCACCTGCCACAGATGAAACACGCTTCACACAGCAGGGGGCACTGCAACTTTGGAAAACTGACGCTCTACAGTTCCTCCACACTAAGCAACTCTGCAGGGGAGACGTGCGTTTGGCAAAGATGTCTTTGCTCTGCGAGTTACAGCGTAATGCTCTGGAGCTATTCACCTCAGGAAACCACTGGACGCTTTGCTTAGGTCAGAGGTCAGCACTGTGTAGATCAAACCAACTCAGAAGACACTGACACATGCAGCACCTTGCAAAATGCTCATACTACTGAAAAATTCAGCATTTTTATACATTTTATTTATATTTTATGTGATAGACCAACAGAATATAGCATATAATGATGAAGTGCCTCATATTGATGGAGCTCCACACAAAGTTGAAAGCTAAAAGAGAAATCACCTTTTCCATTTTCTCTTGAAACCTTAGCTTAGGCTACTGAGTGTTTTTTAAAAACTGACTCAGTTTTTATTAATCTGGCATGTTTTTATGTGCCTATTGTCAAACATTTAGTTTTTATTTTGAGAAGTACGATAAAAAATCAGATTTGACTTCCTAATTGCTCAGTTGAAAGAAAAGTAATACATGATTAAATTTTTTAAACAAATGAAAGTCTAAGGTCTGTTATGCAATTTTATAAACTCAACTTGTTGAATTTCTTTTTAAGTATGCGTGAGTTTTCTAACTTTCAGTAGTAAAGAATTTTGAAAATCATCAGCAATCCATGATAATCAAGCACCACATGTTGTTGGTCTATCAAATAAAATAAATTTTATTTAATTTCCCTGTGAGATTAATAAAGTATTTTTGAAACTGAACTGAATTTTGAGTCCTATTGAAATGCACTGCAGTTTGTGGTTTCAGAATCTGAAAACATTTAAGTGTGATGAATGTTTTTGCAAGACGCTGCATGTTGAGCCTAGATTGTGCTTCTTTATCGGTGTTGAGTAGGATTTCAAAAAGCGAGTTCATTAGCTTATGCATCACATTTGACTTCCGTTATAATCACACAACTTTCTGCTGCACAAATAATCGATTGGATGTATTTCAAATCCCTTTCAGACTGAAAATGTTGCCATCCCCAAGATTATGAAAATGTATTTATTTTCTTCATCCAGTTGCTAAATGAAGAACACTGAGGCTTGGCGCGACCGTGTCTGGCACTCTGACTTTGTCCTATTCAGAGTTTAATGTCACTAAAGATAAAACTGTACATTTGTTGGGAACACTGCATTTAAAACTACATTGAAAGGATCTTCGTTTCAAAGGCTGTTTGACACACTTGTTCAGAAATCTAGTCTTTCACTTGTAAGTTGATCCGTATGTAACGTTTTTGTGTCTCTTAAAGATGGACGTGATTTTTTGGGGGGTGTTTTATTATTTTCTTTGTTCAATTTGTATTCTAGGAAACCTCAGAGGTCCAGAGAGACTAAATGATTGTATTCTCTCTTGATGCAGCAGCTTATTTTAAACTCCTCACCCTGTTCGGCCTTGGCAGCAGAGTTTAGGTGTTATGTCGACGGTTATAGATGTAACAGATTTTGTAGACTAATTGCAGAACTATCAGTGAGGTAGCGTGCTGTGCATCGGTTACACCTACCCGTCTCTTCAGCATTAGAATCATCCTCGGTGTGTGTTGCAAGACAGATAATTTATTTTGTTATATCCTAATAAATGTTCATGATTGAAATCGATGTTGTAGTTCTTTCTACCAAGAGTGACTTTTCTTCTGCTAATTTAACAGCTCTGACGTGTGGATGAGGCAGCAGGAGCTGCGTCACTCGGCCAGCAACACTTCTGCTGTTGTCTTGTTTGTTGCACTGACGCTTCGATGCTGCCGTGACTCATCATCATGTCATCCGCAGACGTCGGACTGTAAAAACGACGCTCAAGAGCAAACCTGGTATTAACCAGACAAATTCTTCTGTGGGATTTAAAACTACGGCGCGAGTTAAAGTAAGGCCCAACAAAACGAGTTTGAAAGGTCCAGAGCGTTATTAAGCGTCACGGCCCTGTGGGGATGGAAAGATTGCTCATCCACACCGAAACACCTTCGCAACCTGCAAGAAAATTCATATTTCTCCATGGTGTTCACTTTAATATCCTATCATACATGCCTTCTCTTTGCAGAGCACATACACACCTTAGACTTGAGTTTTCACCTACATGAACTCTCCTTTCCCACATCTCTTAAAATAACTTTGCCGGATTAAACAGAAGTAACCACTTTTTTTTTTTTTATTTGTTTCATTTTTATGAACTACACCTGGGCCTAATAACTGTACAGTGTATGAGTCACTTAAATAGATCCTGTCAAACATAAAGTAGGTTTAAAAAAAAGAAAGAAAGAAAAAATGGAGAAAAGATGAAACAGTAGGGAAGCTTTTCTGGAGAAGCTGGTGCTCCACATAAATTTCAAGAGATCATTACAAACTCTTCCTGCATGTCACAAAAGAAACAGAAAAAAAGTACAGAGATTGGGGAAAAAAACTGCATCAACGAGAGACCAAAGACAAAACTCCTGCTGAATAAAAATAACATAGAAGCTTGTAAAAAAAAAAAACTTTTCCACAGTACTAGAAGAAATATTATATGAACTGACTATACGAAAGAGAAACCTTTTCAAAAGTGTAGAGCTATAAGTGTGGCAACCTCTAGTAAAAAACTAGCAAAGCATTTAAGGAAGAGAGCATTAGAGACACATGGAGGCAACAGCGTTGATGGAATCATGAGGTCATGACCTTACACTCATTAGAGAACACCTGTAGATCCACAGCGGAAAGTCTAAATATCACTGAGATCCTGATCTGTAACAGGTTATTTATGCTCAAAAACTGCATGAATTATAACAATTCACTGAGATCACAGTTTTCACTGATATGTCTTAGAAATTTCACTTTTGTTTTAGTGCCTTTCAGTTCATGATGTTAAATAATTTTTGTTGATTCAAAATAAGATGTAGTGCAGTGAAACATTTAGCAATCATCTATCTTTTGCTGTAACGTGTAATAAAGACAACTCCAAGAAATCAGAACTCATCCTTCACATTGGCTTATGATTACTAATCTAATTAACCTTGGTTGCACCTGTCAATCATTTATACTTCACTCTGTGTTTAACGCTTTGATTGTCATTTAATTGTAAATTTTCTGTAACACTAAATATTTTTTAATCTTAAAGATACGACAGAAACTGTGTTCAAGATCTTAACGTCTGGTTATAAAATCAATCTGGCAACAGTAAAGGAGCCGTTATCGTCATTCAGCTGTCAGCGCTGCTAATTAGAGTTTAATCTTTGCAACTATTTTTAGTTCCTGTTCTTTCTTCAGTAACAGTGTGAAGCAGCAGACAGCCGATATGATGACAAGCAGCACAAGGACAGTTGAAGTAAGCAGAGTATAAATTAGCATTTTGGTTTCAAGATTACTTCAACATGGGTTGTTCCCTTAAGTGTTAAAAATTGAGCAAGAAATGACATAACTACAGCAGCAGCTTTGGCGATGCTGTGCTTGGCCACTTGGTTTGGTTTAAAACATTATTGCCGTGGGTTTATTTTCAAATCCGATGGACTCGGTGATTGAAAAGAAAGGAAAAAAAGAGAGAAAAGAAAGGAGAAGTTAGGCAAAGAGATGAATAAAGAAGGAAAGAGAATACAAAAAAAAAAACAATCTAGAAATCTGCTTCTATACCCACAGAATGAGAGAATAAACAAAATCAAGAAACAGCAACAAAATTTGCCAAAGACAAATGACATAAATCCCCAGAACTGAAAAAAGCATCTCTAGATTTTTGTTCCATTGAAAATGTATTTACACCCACATGCAAAGTACAAATAAAACCCTGAATAAAACACCTTAAAAAACTCTCACACACAGCTAATGCTTAACAACCAGTTCCTGTTCATTTCACACTTCAGCTAATGGTGCACTTCCCAGAGATTGTGATTAGAGGTGGACTTGCACCATCACAGTATAAGTCTAATGTCAGTGAGAGAAGAACTGCAGTGACTTTAACAAGTATTTGCCCCGTTTCAGATTTTTTCTGATTTTGCTTATTTGTCAGAATTAAATATTTTCAGTTTATTCCACTTTTTTGTGACTAATTTTATGAAGCATGACCTGACTAAACACAAAATGTTTTGTTGCTGTTGTTTTTTCAGAATGTAATGTCAAAAATCAGTGGACACCACCCCTCACCTAGCAACAACCCCAGGTGAGGGATTGCTAGGGGTCAAACCCCCTGCTGGGGGTTGCCCAGCTGAGCTCCAGCACACCTGGTCAGCTGGTTTTACTTCAATATCCACAATGGCTGCTGGAAAAGACAAGTGTTTTTGTCTTGCTGCTTTGTTGTTGGTTGTGCAGGAGGCTCTACTTCTGCTTTTCAAAGATATACTTTTGTGCAATTGCATATCTATTTGCAGCCATTTTTGGAAAAAAAATGTATTGAACATGTTTGTATCAACCATAGATCTAATACAACCTGTTCAAGGAAGCATAATACAAGTATTTTTGCTCAGGGTTTCTTTCTCTAACTTTAAAGCTAATTTACTGACCTGAAAAAAAAAAAAGCAGAAACAAAGATATCTGTAGAGGGGAAATACGTTTCGACTGCCGTATTTGTCTTTGGACTATGTGACATGGGTGTGAAGGTGACGTAGGAACTCTCCTCGTGTGGTTGAGTCTCCGGGAAAAACTGCTTGGCAGAAGTCACAAACATGCGAGTGCATCGCCACGTCAGACATCATGGCTCCTCCAGACAGGTCCAGGAGGCCTCCATCAGTCATCGGCACCTGAAACAGATCAAAACTTTACAAAAATAGCACAACAACACATTTCTGACCAGACGCTGCTCACCATTGCTGTGCATGGAGCTCTGCGTTCACCAGGGCCATTTTGTTCTGAAGGCTTTGTCCTACTGGGAGAATCTGCGTTGTACTTCGAGAACTCCGTATTGAACACGAACGGGTTCAGCATCTCCGTCTTCACGTCCTGCTTCCTCTGACAGGGCATGTTCATGCTGAGCTTCGACATTCCTTCAGCAAGGACACCAGAAGCGCAGCCAGCATTTCTGGAAGCGTGCTCGGCCCCGTGTGGCGACGTGGGGTCTGGTCCTGCAGATGTCAGTGGTTGAGGCTTTTCGTGGAGAAACGCAGGGACCTCATGGGAACACTGGACCGGGATAGAAATCAGATCGCTCACTTCTACTTCTGGAACAGAAACCCCTGAATAAAAAAAAAAAAAGTTTGTTTTCAGATTTACTTTTAGTGATTGGAGCGCCGCTGGTTAGCGCTGAAATCAAAATTCACACCTTGCTGTTTCTGCAGGGCTGTTGTCAGCTGGTGAAGCATAGCTGCCTGTCTGAGGCACAACGACCTGAGGCGAAGAAACTGCTGGTAAAGTTCACCATACGCTTCCTCCATCTCAGGGCTCTGCAGACAGTCAGCATCACTGGGTCAGTGGCATCCATCACAACAGAGTCTTTTGTGTGTAACCTGTGTGATTTCAGCTGTTCCCTGAAGGCCTCAAAGGATTTAGAGAACATTAGTGAATAAAAAAAACCAAGAAACACAGCTGACAGGTCAGGGATGAACTGTAAGGGAAGCTCATTAGGAAGCATAATAGATTGAACATGGCGAACTGTGAACTTGTCACTGAACACGGTTCTGTTGGAGCACTGTACGAAAAAACATGAAACTGGAGATTGACAATTTGGGCTTCAGATTTTATCACAAGATTTGATTATATTTATTCTTATAACAACAAAATCTGACAGTTCAATCTATTGACAACAAAGATATTAAAATGTTGTTAGTTTTGGGCGTTTGCAACCATCATTAATTGGAATGCTACAACACAATTCTTACTATAAAACATAATTACAATAATTAAAATCTGTCCACTAACGTCCCATCTCTACAGGTCACCTGTCCATCCACCTATCAGAACACCGGCCTATTAATTTCTGCAACTCTGGAGGAGCTACAGAGCTCCTTGGCTCAGGTGGGACAAACTGCAAAACAGCTCCTTGGTGTTGATGCTACAAATTTATATTTTAGAAGAAAACAGCTGAGAAAGTCAGATTGCAAAAGGGTACACACGACACAGACTGAGCTGTTTTGGTGACATGAAATATGCTACTTGTGGAGGAAAATGACGTTACATTCTGTCATATAAATCAACCACTTTGTGCAGAGTTGTTTGTGTTGCTTTCTTCTGGCTAAAAGCGCCGTTACAGAGAGATACAAGCACTGGTTGCTGCCATTTAAAACACACATTTAAAACAGAAAATATGGAGATTTATCTCACAAGACTTCTCTAAATCCTGGGATTTTGTTAACAGCTTAAGTACCCAAACATCACTGAACAAACCGTTCTCTGTTGATATTCTGTCAGCTATAAGCCAGTTACAACCCTAACTCATCCAGCTTCATGTCGCACATGAACAATGGCTCACTTACCCCTTGTGTGACTGTCCGTGCTCAAAGAATCTGCAATCAGGCCTCAAAGTCATTCAAACTTCCTGCCTTTAAAAAAAACAACACTAATTGCAAACTTAAAAGGCCGGTTACCTTGCAGAGTCTACAACTTGTTCATGGATTCTAAATCCAGTCTTCAAACTGGATTTGAAGCCTGAACAAGACTGAAACACAGTCTTGTTCAGTCAAAAGACCGACGTTCTTTTGATGCAACTGCACAAAGTTGGTATATGAAACAGTCAAACAGAAGGAAGTAGCTCTTGAAAACAGAGAAGTGAAACTCTTTTAGTAGAAAAAAGCAACATTGCAATCTGCAATACAGACATGTGCAGTGACCTTTGTAGAAATGCACAAAGAAGACAGATGACATTTTCATCTGTTATCTTGGGAAGACAGACAAATGTATCTAAATTATTTGTGGTTTGATTAAAAACTTACAGCGTGGCATTTTTTTGCTAAGATAAATAAAACAAAACAAATTCATATGTTCCCAGAAAACAAAATAAAATTTTTTGGAATGTGATTCAGTTTGACATTTAAAAAAAATGAGCTGCACGGCGGCGCAGTGGTTAGCATCCTGTCCTGGGGTCTCTCTGCATGAAGTTTGCATGATCTCCTTGTACTTGCGTGGGTAATTTGGCTTCCTCCCAAGGCTGTGCAGATGTCACTGTGTGCAGAATCAACTGTGCTACACAGACGACACTGTGGTTTTGGAGGACCGTCAGATTCAGCCCATTAAAATTCACACTTAAAACAATCGCAGTCATACTTTTTTTAATTATTATTTATTTATTTACATTTTGCCAAATCCATTAATCTCTGGCATAGGCGCGGTGAGGTTGGCTAAATGTTTTCAGTTACTTTTTGCTGCTATTGTTTTATTCATTCATTTCCCTCATGCCATGTCCTAAAGCGGGGACACGCCCCTCACTTTGAAAACCCATCCATCCATCCATCCAGCCCGTCAGCTGATGGAACAAATACCAACGTGTCAAACTGTGTGACGTGAGTAACCTGGAAAAGCACAACAGAAGTGAAATTCCTGCCTAACAAAAATATTTAAAAATTAAAAAATAATAAATAAATTAAATACCTATTTGTGGTGATGTTTTATTTTTGTTCTGCACTTCCTCATCGCTTTCCTCGAGATGAGAAAATCACAGCAACCGTCTGCTCCAGGCCGGGCAGACTCAGTTCGCTCTAATTGGGCCTCGGTTTCTCTCAGCTCACAGTTTGTTTCCAGACTCTTTCTACAGAATAAATCCCGTCACTCTGAGAGAAAAGTGATTCAAATTGAGCGTTTACTCGGACTTACAGTTTTTTTCCAGCAGCGGAACAGTTTCGACGGACAGAAGGAGCTGAAGATCCGCATTTTTTTACTCTCTCTCTCTCTTTTTTTTCCCCAGATCCATGACGTCACCACACCTCACGTCAGGTAAATGACTTCCCGTAAAGCTGCCTTCAAAATAAAAGAACCGACTTCTTTATGGCGATTCAACATAACAAACATCCCGTCGGATCAGTGCTGGAGTGTGTTTGTAGAGCAACGTAATTGGAGATTTATTTAGATTTGTAGACGTATTTCACCTGCTATAAACGATGGTTTTACGGCCCAGTTTGTCCGAGTGTTTTTTGAACTTCAATAATCAACCTGTTTGTGTAACAATACTCTGGTTTTGAATGATTGCTCTCAACAGAGGAAGTCTGGATTAAAGCTGATTTTCCACTGACTTTGAGTATTTGTGTGTTAAAATAGACCTTAAATTATTTCAGGATGCAATGGCTGGACACATAAATTACAAATATTGTACTTTATGTACAATAAAGACTGGGATGCTTTTTTTTAAAGTATTATTATTTACTAACCAGGACCCAGAGTCAAATCAGTTCTGGGGAGTGTATGCACTAACAATGAAATGCAGTTATTTACTGCAATCCAAGTGAGAAACAAACAAACAAAACTAATAAAAGAGACTGGAATGAAGTTTCAAATATCATCACTAAATCTGACTTTTGTTGCACTTCTCAGGTGTCAGTGAAAGATTGTGTTAAATTCCCAGCTCATTAAGTTAGCATTAAAATGAAATGAACGCATCACTGGTGTATTTTGTAACCTACAGACCACCGGCAGCTTGTTAATGGTGTCACATTATCAGCAGGTTTGAGGAGGCTGACAGAAAAATCCTCCCACAGCAGATTTGGAGCCAAAACGAGCGAACTGAGTGAATTCGGTGAACAGAAGTAAAGACCCTCCTGTCTCTGTTTTCACACGCTGTGGAAGCCTTTGAGTTCTGTCCTTAACAACTCCTCATGTTTCCAGCACCATGTGGGCAGCTCCTGGCCTGGTTGAAGTTTTATTTTTTATTTTTTGGTGTATATTGACAATAAACTCAAAACTCAAAACATGTTAAAAGTTAAAGAGGAGTTTAGCTTTCAGCAGTCAGGTTGTGACTCGTTGAATGACGCGGTTGTCCGCTTTGCACCACCTGCCTGTGTAGGTGGTGTTTGCACCATGTGCTTGCTTTGACCTTGAGCCCCCATTTTCATGCACACACACACACACACACACACACACACACACATACATTATCGCTTGTCCCTAAGACGCTCCTCAAGCTTTGATCCCTCGGTGGCTGAAATGCAAGTGCATGCATCCATGCGTGTGTTGTGTGTCAGGGTATGTGTGTGTGTGTGTGTGTGTGTGTGTGTGTGTGTGTGTGTGTGTGTGTGTGTGTGTGTGTGTGTGTGTGTGTGTGTGTGTGTTCGTGTGTGTGTGTGTGTGTGTGTGTGTGTGTGTGTGTGTGTGTGTGTGTGTGTGTGTGTGTGTGTGTTTGCTGAGGGGGTGGTTGCTGTGAATAACTATCAGGCAGTCGGCCAGGATCTGTCATCTGCCAGTGCAACACTATCCCTCCTGTCAATCTTATTTTATAATTGTAACATTCTCATATTCTCCGGCTGAGCAGGGAGAAGTTTCCAGCATAGTGACACACACACACACACACACACCCACACGCACACACACACACACACACACACACACACACACACACACACACACACACCCACACACACACACACACAAGCAGCACCAACTCTGCTTGATAGATATATTCAAATTCTCTCTTCAAAGGTTATTTGCTTGCAGCACTGCAGTTGAAGTAAATGTCAATTCTTCCATTAATGCCAGACCGATTTCACTCTAAAACTTTGACAGGCCTAACTTTAGCTTGTAAGATGTAAACAAAAAATATTTAGTGCAACTGAATCTCATTTTTATCAGGGGTTTTGTTGAGTCGCTCAGGCGTTAATTCTTGCAGGTTGTGGTTCTCGTGGTGTTTCTCGTGCCTCAGAAATCTCCTGCCTGAAGAGCGAGCAGCTTCCAGGGAAGGAGTCGTCTCAAGGTGCTGAGCAACCAATCAGAAGCAGACTTTGGAGAGATGCTAACCACAACATGCTGCATAAGAAAAATGGATCCGATCACTGTTTCTGCTACATTCTTTAGACAATGTAAATTATTCATGTAGATGAAACTTTGCACTCTCTGTGCATACATGTCTGACGGTGCGAAGGCGTGCACTGCTGCACATAACAAGAGTAACTTCCACATCTCTGAAGGCCCCATCAATGCTGCCGGTACTTTCTGTGTCTTTTTTTAGAGAAGGCCTGGCATATAATCATAGAGAAGATACCAAACAAAATTCTGCACGTACGACTACCGAGCGGCTCCATGAAAGAATCAGAGTGTTAAACTGTCATGCCTGTAGACAAGACCGGTCCCGCATCGAAAACATTTGACACACTTTGAAACTAAAAATACAACAAAAGAGGCCCTGAACTGCTGAGCATCTGGAATATAGAACAAGAAAGAAAGGAAAAACATTTAACACTGAAAAGTAAAAGAACTGGTTTCCTCAGTTCCCAGCATTCAGAAAGGGAATGGTGCAAATTAGCATCCTGCAAAGGAAAGTGAGGGGAGCTTTTTGAAATTGCTGCCATTATCAAACATTAAAACTAAAATTATCAGATGACAAGCTGCTAATACATCTACATAATTTATCTATTTTGTGCATTTGATGAACTGAGTTTCTCTCACTTGTTAAGAACTGTTTGTTTTGTTTTTGTTTTTTGCTGCCTATACTTGAGTGAATTCTCAAGAACAAATCAGTTAAACTACGTTTCATCATCCCTTCCTCTCATTCACTTCAAAATGACCGTTTAGACGGCTAATCGTTCACTTATGCATTTAATCCTGGGGGAATAAGTCCCTAATACCGTGATGTGCTACATAGAGTTATCACAAGGTGTCATGAGCAATGACAGTCGCCCTCTCGTTTATCATGGGACATTCTCGGTGAGGGAGACCAGATCCAATTACTGAGGATACTGTGGGCTCAACAATAGTCTGGCTATAAATACACCCATGGTGGGTTTTCCACACTCAACAAAACACCTACGTAGAACCTGCTGCTGCAGCGTGAATCTACATGCATGTATACAATTTCACATGGCACCTTATAGCGTGTACTCAAAGTACTTTGTTTTTAAAAAGCGATATTACAGAAGGACTCATGGAGAAATAATTACTGGAGCCACCATGGGGAACTGAACTGCTTCTCAAAGTTATTTGCAGCTCAATCCGTCAACAAACAGCAGGTGCAGCATCCTCACAAACAAACCTATTAGCTTTCCTCCCTGTGGAACAATGACATCTCCGGCAATCAGCTGCTCTCTCTTACTCACACACAGACCCATTAGTTACAAACTGCATGATTCGATTGTGTTACTTGTGGCTTCTTTGCTTTTGGTTTTTATCTTTTTTGACAGTAAGTGAGCGAAAGTGGATGCACACTTTGTTTAAGATTGTTTAAGTCGTCTGATAGCAACTGCACACAGAGGGAAGGCGTGGCGTTTGGACTTGGCCTTGGACTGCAAATTTATCCATCTGCTCCAAGTAGGCTGCTGTCTTGCTTCATCTATTCTCAGAGAATTGCTACGTTAGTGGCTGAAAATCTCTTCATTTGCATCGCACATCAAACTTCTTTCACTGCTACCGAAGCATTATCATGTTGCAAAGTGTTACTGTTACACTACAATATTGTTATTTAGTGTTAAATCCCATTACTTTACTAGTAGGTACATTAAATACTGTTAGGTTTCACCTTCTCTTAAAGTTAAGATACCTTACTTCAATTTAGTTCATGGTAAATTAGGTCACTTTACATTATAATCATGTTACATTGAATTAATTTACATTTTCTAAAATCACATTTTAAGTTTAGCTACATTACTATAAGTTACGTTACTTAACATTTTATCAGTCATTCCCTTGTTACATTTCACATTACTGATATTTAACTGGAGCTAAGTCAAACTAAGCTGCAGTACGTTGTGGTAACTAGTAAAATTAAGTTAATTAAGTTTTTATTGTCATATAAAGTTGCCTAATATTACATTTGTTTGTTACTTTGTGCGGTTTTCACAATACTTATTGTTAAGTTTGGTTACATTACTCATTGCTATGTTAGATTTTGACGTTGCATCAGTTAACATTAAGTCATGCTAACCAATTTAAGTCACTTATTGTAAAGAGACGAGAAGAGAAAGTAAAGAGAAACCACTTTAAAACGTTATCTACATCATATTTCTTCACAAAATGAATTATATCGAGTGATTAAATTATGAGTCTCTACTGTTCCATTTTGTCACATTGGTAGTTTTGGTAAAAGAATTGTAGAAAACAGAATGCAAAGAAGGATTATCGATGATAATTTATCCTTACTGACTTTGTAACTTTCATCACAAAACAATGGCTGAAACTGCAACACAAATGTAGCCAAACAGTAGAAAATAACCCAACCTAAAGAGATTGCAGGGTTCTGTTAAGACGTTTTGAGACATTAATACCTTGTCTGCAGTAATTCATAAAATCTGCATTACTTGTCGCGATTTGGACCCTTTTACGGTACATTGAGAGGCTAATGACCGATAATATCTTGGATGAAAATATTCTATCCTGTGCCAGAACATCAGTGATGGGTTGTGGATGGATCTAATTCTTGAAGCTTGTCACCAAGGGAATAAAGAATCGTCTAAACAAGAAGCACGTTAAGGTCACTAAGTGGGCAGGTCTGCCTCAGTCCCTCAGAAAATCTGTCGTAGGAGCTTCGAGTCACCAAACGGCAGCCAAGAAACACGGAAAATTCGCAGCATTTCAGTACAGAGCAAAACTGATTTAATCATGTTGCATTTTAGCATCAAAAAGTTTTTTCTCTCAAAAAATATTCATTAATTGTAACCTTTCTGTAACGCTTTTTTCCCCTGGATTAATAATAGATATTCTGCACCTTTACAGTGAAATAAACCTATCAAAACTTA